GCGTTCACTAGACATAAAAATTTTGCTTTTGAATACCACTTACATAATCAGAGAACCAGAGGAATCTAAATTTAGTAATAATCTACTCCCATTGAAAGAATAATCCTATTGAGGCATTTTATTGAGATCATGAATATTTGGAACTTCTTCAATTGGAACCTTTACAATTTTGAACACTCTATTTATCATTTTAAGAAAAATGTAGTCCTTTAGTAAACTAGAGGACGAATTCATTTACAAGATATTTGCATCGCTTTTCTGTTTCCTTTTCTTTCAAGCTAATCTTGTTTCATAAATCTTACTTTTTTTAATTCTATTTGTAAAATGATAGAGTAAATTCTAAAATGGAAGATCTAAATAACAATATATATAAAGTTCAATATTAACTTTATTTTCTTTTGGGAAACTCAAGGATCAAGAATAATAAGGAATAATAAAATGAATTATTTGATCATTAAATATACAGTGAAAATTTGTCAGCATTTTTTTGTTTGAAAGGTTGAAGATTCTCTTGAATTTCTTTAAGGAAAAATGCTTATTTTCTCAAAAAAAATTAAGAATTATGATTTTAATAAACAAAATTACTTCTTAGATAATACCTTAAGATAAGAAGATCATAGAATTATTAAATGTATTTTTCTTCATACATCTTAGACAGATCAAATTCTTTTCATTTATTAGTTGAAATAAAGGAGGATTTGAAAAAATCATTTGAAAATATTAGAATTAGAAATAATTATATCGACATAACAGTTATGTTAACTCAGTCTTCTTTTCTCCTGATGGCAAGTTGTTCGCATCTTATTATTATAATAACTCTATCCGTTTATGGGAAAAAGCCAAATTAGATGGTGGTCATATTGATGGAAAATCACTCTGTTTAGGAAAAGAATTTCAATTTTCAGAATAAAATTTTAAAGAGACAGGATAATCCAACATTCCAAAAGGGTAATTACTTCTGTATTTATTACTTAGCTGTCTAATCTTTTAAGGAGAATTTGTAGATTATAAGGGATTCAGTTTGCGATTTTTTTAAGTCTGTAGGCAGTTTGTTGTTAGAATCCATTAAATTAGAAAAAAAATTGAAAAATATATTAAAAAGCCATTTAAAGAAATAATGTCAATTTTATTCATTTGTTATCGATTGCATATTTCTTTCATTAACTGTCCCCTTTATTCGTAAATTTATTGTTTTGTGATATTTTTGACCATTTTTGACTATTTTGAAGAAGATCTTATTGATTTATAGTTATTAATTAATTTATCGGGTTTCTTTATAAAGATTAATTAAAATTACCTTAATAAAACAAATTAGAATTTGGAATTTTAGAATTGTAAATGATAATAGGGTAGCAAAAATGTTATTTTCTATAATTTCATTTATAAGAATAATAGATATTTATTTTATAAATTGTGAACAAATGTGATGACTAAAGCTTTCAATTTGTTATTGTAAGAAAAATTAAATTCAATTACAATCTTTCAGTTTGTTATAACAATTTAAATACATTTTATCATTAAGTAAATTTAATTTGCCACCAAATCCAATACAATAATTCAATCTATGGCGAATTTACATCATTAAGCAAATTATATCAATGATTAAATATTAAAACTTTATTATTAAAAGTGTTTAAGAAATGAGGGAGGGAATAATCTAAAATGAAATGAATTAAATGGAATTCGAGATTAAGCATAAGAGAGATAGACGAATATATAAGAATAAAATAAATCTATATATATGATAATATTATAAATATTAGGCACCTAGGAAAAAAGGACTTAGAAAGTAGATAATAACTGCTTTGTTATCACTTAACCATAAAAATTAAGTGTAATTAAGTCTGAATTACTAGAGGGAGAAAAATACAATAAACAATCCTGTCAGTAATAAGTCAAAACTATAAAAAATTTATTGTGATCTATCATGCTAAAAAGAGAAAATCTACCTTTATGGGCGATAAAATAAATGATTCATTAGCTCTTTATAAATTTCAATAATTTTCACTGCTGAAATAAAAATAAGAAAGTATAACCTATGGGAATGAATAAAATACAAAATCCTAGAATTTTAATAGAGCAAGCCTCATCAAAGAAACATTAATTTGTTTAAATATAATCACAGAAGAAATATTCTGATAGAATTAACAATCAACAATCAAATAATCAACAAATAAAAAATGTTAAGTTGAATATAGATCAGATTCATAGGAGGATTAGCTTTAAAAGGAGGGAAATGAAACCATTGATATAAAAATAAATTTAACCTTTAATAATAGCCCTCACAAAGAAATTTAAATTTATTTTTTAAAGTTCTTATAGAATGAAAACTCTCTTTTTCATAAGATAAATAACGCTCATATTCTTATAAGAAGTCAGAAATACTTAATTTAACGATTCATTTAATTATAAATATTATTGTAAAAGAAATGGTTCTACTTATATTGATGGCATATCTATAGGGATATATAGAGATTTTAACTCTAGTTATAATTACGCAAAAATTAAGATCATATTAGGAAATATTAATATTTAAGAATAAACAAAATATTAGCAATAACAGAATTCAATATAGGAATTTTTAATAGATACATAATCTAGTTTAAAAAAACTAAATATTAACTAAAAGTCTAAGAAAAATGAGAAAACAACCTTTAAAAATTATAATTTAGAGTTAACAGAAAAACCTGATTAACTATTCTAAGCTGATAAAACCGAATTTTTCAACAAGTAAATGAGAAGGAGGCAATTTCATATGATTGTAGAACACAATAATTTGGGAACAATTGGAAGATAATTCCTCTCAATAAAGTAAAACCAGAAATTTCTAATAAAAATACTTCCATTTTTATGAATAATTATCAAATTTCCTCTAGTATGAAATTTTGAAAGAGCAAATAGGCTTTGTAAAGGGTTATGGAACTTATGAAATATTCCTTTTCGACATAATTAACAATACAAATATCTAAGAGAAACAAGTAGTAATTTTGATTTTTCTAATTTTTATAATACGATTGATAGAATATTAAAGTAAAATAAAGTCCTAAGATAGGAAAAAGTTATGGTTATAAGCTTTCCATAGTAGAATCCTGTATATCAATCCTTCTAACCCCAAAGAAAGAATTTATTATAAAAATGGACTTCCCTAAGAATCTTCAATATCTCCATATCTATTTAATATTTAGATGGATGTTTTTCTAAAAACTAAAATCGTATATATCATATCAAATTAAATATTAGGTTATGCTGATGATTAAGCTTTCTTTGTTAAACAAAATATAATACAGATGTTAAGGAATAAATTTAATCATCTAGATAAGATTTAATATGATATTAAATAGAGTGCCTACTTAAAAGTGTACAAATTGTTAACAATTTCTTAAAAATAGACTCTAGATCTAAATTCATTTTATTCCTGATTTATATTATATTTAACCGTACTTCAATTATAATTCGATTTCTGCATACTATACTTTAATAAAAATAGAAAAAGAGTGTTGCAGATTTCCTTAAAGATTAATTCATAATTGACTTTAGATCATTTATGTTTATTCTCTTAATTCAGAGCAAATTTTTTTAATTCAAATGTGTGTTAAATCAAATTTATCAAACTTATCATTTGTTTTATATTTATAGCTACAAGCATTTAAACTGAACTTCTACTTTGATACATGCTTAATTGTAATGCAAAAATTAGTATTTTAGTAATTGAAAATTAAGAAATATATAATTAATTCAAATTATTTTAATTTTCTTATATATAATATTCAGATTTAACTAATTCTTAAACTATTCCTTTATTAATCAATTCCAAATTTATTCAAAGATTAATTATTTATTTAGGAATGATTGACTTTGTAGAAGTTGCATTAAACTGGGCGCTACCTGCTATTCTTATTGACTAAATTTTGTTTTTTATAATTTACAAAATTGCAGGAGATCAAATATGCATAGTTGACGTAGCCTATCCAACTAGTCATTTGGTTGCAGGAATAATTTATTGCGTTTTTTCAGATATACCCCTTCCTTCAAAGATTGTAAAGTTCATTATCAATTTTCAGATTAGTATTATTCTTCTGGTGTTATGGTCTATGAGGTTAGCTGGATTCATCTTCATTTATCGAGTTTTAGGAGGATATAAAGATGAACGCTTTGAGAATATTTTTAATGAATTTAACAACGAAAGACTAAAAAAAAATATGATGGTTATGATTCAATTTCTTTTTCAAGGTATATTCATTTTTGTGACCAGCATTCCTTTATATTTCCTATTTTAAAATAACCTTACTTGGAAGTCAGAAAATTTTTAGGGATTGTAGGTTATGAATTATATTGCATTATCAATTATACCTTTTAGTATTTGTTTGGAAGCAATTGCAGGTAATAATAAAAATATTCTCAGATATACAACTGGAACAGTTTAAAAAGTTATAGCAACAAGATTTAATACCAAAAACAGAAATTATGGAGACAGGATTTTGGAAAAAAAGTAGGCATCCAAATTTATTTTTTGATCTCATAACTTGGACATGCTTTGGAATATCAGCAATATATGATGGAATTAGTGTTTGTTCTTTAATTGGCCCCATAATCCTATTTTGTGCTATGGAATTTGTGACAGTGCCTATTACAGAGGCCCATATGAAAAAAAAAAGAGGAGAAGCCTTTGATCAATATGTTTTGAGAACAAATAAATTTTTGATTTTTTGATTGCCTTTTATCCATATTCATAGTTTAATTTTTCATCTTTTAAAATNCTAAAAACTAAAATCGTATATATCATATCAAATTAAATATTAGGTTATGCTGATGATTAAGCTTTCTTTGTTAAACAAAATATAATACAGATGTTAAGGAATAAATTTAATCATCTAGATAAGATTTAATATGATATTAAATAGAGTGCCTACTTAAAAGTGTACAAATTGTTAACAATTTCTTAAAAATAGACTCTAGATCTAAATTCATTTTATTCCTGATTTATATTATATTTAACCGTACTTCAATTATAATTCGATTTCTGCATACTATACTTTAATAAAAATAGAAAAAGAGTGTTGCAGATTTCCTTAAAGATTAATTCATAATTGACTTTAGATCATTTATGTTTATTCTCTTAATTCAGAGCAAATTTTTTTAATTCAAATGTGTGTTAAATCAAATTTATCAAACTTATCATTTGTTTTATATTTATAGCTACAAGCATTTAAACTGAACTTCTACTTTGATACATGCTTAATTGTAATGCAAAAATTAGTATTTTAGTAATTGAAAATTAAGAAATATATAATTAATTCAAATTATTTTAATTTTCTTATATATAATATTCAGATTTAACTAATTCTTAAACTATTCCTTTATTAATCAATTCCAAATTTATTCAAAGATTAATTATTTATTTAGGAATGATTGACTTTGTAGAAGTTGCATTAAACTGGGCGCTACCTGCTATTCTTATTGACTAAATTTTGTTTTTTATAATTTACAAAATTGCAGGAGATCAAATATGCATAGTTGACGTAGCCTATCCAACTAGTCATTTGGTTGCAGGAATAATTTATTGCGTTTTTTCAGATATACCCCTTCCTTCAAAGATTGTAAAGTTCATTATCAATTTTCAGATTAGTATTATTCTTCTGGTGTTATGGTCTATGAGGTTAGCTGGATTCATCTTCATTTATCGAGTTTTAGGAGGATATAAAGATGAACGCTTTGAGAATATTTTTAATGAATTTAACAACGAAAGACTAAAAAAAAATATGATGGTTATGATTCAATTTCTTTTTCAAGGTATATTCATTTTTGTGACCAGCATTCCTTTATATTTCCTATTTTAAAATAACCTTACTTGGAAGTCAGAAAATTTTTAGGGATTGTAGGTTATGAATTATATTGCATTATCAATTATACCTTTTAGTATTTGTTTGGAAGCAATTGCAGGTAATAATAAAAATATTCTCAGATATACAACTGGAACAGTTTAAAAAGTTATAGCAACAAGATTTAATACCAAAAACAGAAATTATGGAGACAGGATTTTGGAAAAAAAGTAGGCATCCAAATTTATTTTTTGATCTCATAACTTGGACATGCTTTGGAATATCAGCAATATATGATGGAATTAGTGTTTGTTCTTTAATTGGCCCCATAATCCTATTTTGTGCTATGGAATTTGTGACAGTGCCTATTACAGAGGCCCATATGAAAAAAAAAAGAGGAGAAGCCTTTGATCAATATGTTTTGAGAACAAATAAATTTTTGATTTTTTGATTGCCTTTTATCCATATTCATAGTTTAATTTTTCATCTTTTAAAATNATATATAGAGATTTTAACTCTAGTTATAATTACGCAAAAATTAAGATCATATTAGGAAATATTAATATTTAAGAATAAACAAAATATTAGCAATAACAGAATTCAATATAGGAATTTTTAATAGATACATAATCTAGTTTAAAAAAACTAAATATTAACTAAAAGTCTAAGAAAAATGAGAAAACAACCTTTAAAAATTATAATTTAGAGTTAACAGAAAAACCTGATTAACTATTCTAAGCTGATAAAACCGAATTTTTCAACAAGTAAATGAGAAGGAGGCAATTTCATATGATTGTAGAACACAATAATTTGGGAACAATTGGAAGATAATTCCTCTCAATAAAGTAAAACCAGAAATTTCTAATAAAAATACTTCCATTTTTATGAATAATTATCAAATTTCCTCTAGTATGAAATTTTGAAAGAGCAAATAGGCTTTGTAAAGGGTTATGGAACTTATGAAATATTCCTTTTCGACATAATTAACAATACAAATATCTAAGAGAAACAAGTAGTAATTTTGATTTTTCTAATTTTTATAATACGATTGATAGAATATTAAAGTAAAATAAAGTCCTAAGATAGGAAAAAGTTATGGTTATAAGCTTTCCATAGTAGAATCCTGTATATCAATCCTTCTAACCCCAAAGAAAGAATTTATTATAAAAATGGACTTCCCTAAGAATCTTCAATATCTCCATATCTATTTAATATTTAGATGGATGTTTTTCTAAAAACTAAAATCGTATATATCATATCAAATTAAATATTAGGTTATGCTGATGATTAAGCTTTCTTTGTTAAACAAAATATAATACAGATGTTAAGGAATAAATTTAATCATCTAGATAAGATTTAATATGATATTAAATAGAGTGCCTACTTAAAAGTGTACAAATTGTTAACAATTTCTTAAAAATAGACTCTAGATCTAAATTCATTTTATTCCTGATTTATATTATATTTAACCGTACTTCAATTATAATTCGATTTCTGCATACTATACTTTAATAAAAATAGAAAAAGAGTGTTGCAGATTTCCTTAAAGATTAATTCATAATTGACTTTAGATCATTTATGTTTATTCTCTTAATTCAGAGCAAATTTTTTTAATTCAAATGTGTGTTAAATCAAATTTATCAAACTTATCATTTGTTTTATATTTATAGCTACAAGCATTTAAACTGAACTTCTACTTTGATACATGCTTAATTGTAATGCAAAAATTAGTATTTTAGTAATTGAAAATTAAGAAATATATAATTAATTCAAATTATTTTAATTTTCTTATATATAATATTCAGATTTAACTAATTCTTAAACTATTCCTTTATTAATCAATTCCAAATTTATTCAAAGATTAATTATTTATTTAGGAATGATTGACTTTGTAGAAGTTGCATTAAACTGGGCGCTACCTGCTATTCTTATTGACTAAATTTTGTTTTTTATAATTTACAAAATTGCAGGAGATCAAATATGCATAGTTGACGTAGCCTATCCAACTAGTCATTTGGTTGCAGGAATAATTTATTGCGTTTTTTCAGATATACCCCTTCCTTCAAAGATTGTAAAGTTCATTATCAATTTTCAGATTAGTATTATTCTTCTGGTGTTATGGTCTATGAGGTTAGCTGGATTCATCTTCATTTATCGAGTTTTAGGAGGATATAAAGATGAACGCTTTGAGAATATTTTTAATGAATTTAACAACGAAAGACTAAAAAAAAATATGATGGTTATGATTCAATTTCTTTTTCAAGGTATATTCATTTTTGTGACCAGCATTCCTTTATATTTCCTATTTTAAAATAACCTTACTTGGAAGTCAGAAAATTTTTAGGGATTGTAGGTTATGAATTATATTGCATTATCAATTATACCTTTTAGTATTTGTTTGGAAGCAATTGCAGGTAATAATAAAAATATTCTCAGATATACAACTGGAACAGTTTAAAAAGTTATAGCAACAAGATTTAATACCAAAAACAGAAATTATGGAGACAGGATTTTGGAAAAAAAGTAGGCATCCAAATTTATTTTTTGATCTCATAACTTGGACATGCTTTGGAATATCAGCAATATATGATGGAATTAGTGTTTGTTCTTTAATTGGCCCCATAATCCTATTTTGTGCTATGGAATTTGTGACAGTGCCTATTACAGAGGCCCATATGAAAAAAAAAAGAGGAGAAGCCTTTGATCAATATGTTTTGAGAACAAATAAATTTTTGATTTTTTGATTGCCTTTTATCCATATTCATAGTTTAATTTTTCATCTTTTAAAATAATATTCCTGTAATCAGCTGATAAATTTAATTAAAGTAGCATCCAAAAGACAGACCAACTATGATAAAAGAATAAAAATTATAATCTTTACATATAATACATAAAACATGTTAATTAATTATTAAACTAAATCAATTCAAATTTTAACAAATTCTATATCTATTAGATTGTCTTCATTAAATTTTGTAATAATGAAGCATGAAAAACAAGAAAATAAATATTCTTATTCATTCTAAAATTAGGAAACCGTGTAAATTGCTTTGGGTCTCGCCATCTAAAAATGAGAGTCTTCTAAATTATTTTCATTAAAGGAGATTCTAAATATAATTCCAGAATCCTTAGCATAGGATTTACTAATTGCAAAGTCTCTGCTAGTGGAGGTGAATGCAGGAAACATCATTAAATCATATAATTTATGTTTTAGTTTAAAGGAATCAATTGTACAATCCACTCCTCTATAAAGGAAAAAATTATTAGAAACAAATAAATTTTGGTCTATATTGTCTTAGTATTTTTCCAAACTATATTTTAATGATTATATGAAGACTGAGGCTTCTAAAATTGCTTTTTCATTTAAACTTTATAGAAGCTTATTAATAAATTTAAAAAATCCACTAGGCCCTGTATAGAGATTAATTATATCCTCAATTTGTCCATTTTTAAATTTCTCGTGAATTTAAAGAGCTAATTCTGTTTAAGCCTCTTCAGATAATATATATACTGATTTTGGTACGTATTACATTGTGTTTTAAATTATTTTAAGAGCTTCATCTTTGGATAGTTAAGGAATACTACTTAACGAAAATTAGTCAGAAAGATAATAAAGAGCAGCATTCTATTAAAAATAATTCGGAAACTAGTATAAATTAATTTCTCTTAATACTAAAGAAGGCGCTAAGTTCTTCTCCAATGTTGCAATCACTTCATCTTATTGATTTGTGATATATACAATTTATTTAAACTTTTAGATAAGGTCCTCATATTTTTCTGGAAACTAACAATATATAAGAATTGAATGAATATTAGGATAAGTTAATAGCATATGCAGAGTTTCCTTTGCCAGCGATCCTTATAATATCAGAAAAGTAATGTAATTTTCATTTAAAAAATTGATAAGACTTTGATGATCATTTGTAAAATGACAATATTAAATGTTTGGAAAACAATTTCTAATTCTTTAAGCTAATTAAAAATTTCCATGATTTTCTATGTTATTGTCTAACCAAGCTATGGCTCTTTAGTTATTTAAATTAGGCCTTTTGATATTAGTTAAAAAGGTTTTGATAACTCCATCCATAGCAATGTTCATTTCACTGATGCTTTTGGTAACATTTTAATCAATTAATCTTTTTTAATTTTCAAATAAACATTTTAAATCATTAAATTACTTTTTTAGTTTTGTGTTAGCCTTTGCTGCAAATATAAATGGCAAAACAATTTCAGTTGCTCCCTTAAGAATATTCCTTATTGTTTTTCCTAAGACCTATTCACAACCAATTTCAAGAAGGATAACTGAAATAGCAAGGGATATATTAAAACGAGAAAGTTTGTTTCTATTGGAATTTATTACCATTTCCATTCTAAATAAAAGTTCTTCAATTTCCTTAAGGATTTTAAAAAGCTTTTCAGTTATTTACGTAGTGCTTACAGTTACTTCATTTATTATTGAAATAATATTTTGGATGAACTCTCGTATTTGTTCTGAGATCAGTTTAATTTAGTATGATAAATTATTTTTTTCTATGATTATTTCATTCTTTAATCGAGCTTCTAAATTTTCAATATTTTAATTAACTTTCTTGATTGTTTATGAAGTTAATGACCAATATGAATGATTTTAAACTTCTTATTCAACTAATTTAATACTTTCCTCTATAAATTAGGAACTTTTTTGATGCATAGAATGTATAATCGTTCCTAACCTCATTTTATGAAAATTACACATTTGGGTTATAGCTTGAATTTATATATCCATTATTTGTTATTCACTAACTTGTCTAGATAGCACTAGTTGATTAGCCATATTGTGATAAATATCTAAAATTTATTATTAAAGAATTCATATTAAATTGTTTTAAAGCGAATTATAAATATTTTGCTAACGGAATGTATTAGATTATATATTGAATTAATGATTTTAAAAAGTGAATTTTTGATATTTTATGTTTAATTACAAGAATTAGCATTAAAGATGTTAAACTAGCATTAAAATATTATGTGTGATAAATATGTATAAATTCATATATTAGTTTTATAATAAAATTTAATTAATGCTGACTGATTAATCTGTGATTACAAAAAGAATTTAGTCAGTTCATTTTGGATATTATACAGCAAAAGAAATAAGAGAAATGAGTGTCAAAGAAATATCAAATCCTAAAGCTTTTGATAAACTCAATCATCCCATTCGAGGTGGTCTTTATGATCCAGCTTTAGGAGTTTAACCACATGAACGAGGCACTAGATGCGTCACATGTGGTTAAGAGAACATGGATTGCACAGGACATGTAGGTCATATTGAATTGCTACTTCCTGTTTACAATCCATATTTAGTAAATTAACTAATGAGTCTAATGAGATCAAAATGCTATTATTGTCATAAATTAAGAATAACTAAAGATAGAAAGAAGTTTTATAAAAACAATTTTAAATTACTAAGGTTAGGGAGATTGATTGAAATGAAAAAGTATCAAAAACTATACATGACAAAATTGAGATTAAACAAATAAACTAAGAATGCTGAAAATAGGAAATAATCTATAACTGCTACTGACACATCAAGAAAGGGAAGCGATCATAGAAAAGGAAGTGATAATAAAATGCAATGTGATTAAGAAACAGCACCTTAAGAATTCTTAGACATTGAGGATGTTAAATCATAAATCTAAGAAATTCTTGATATACTTTAAGTAAAAAAACATCAATCAGAGTACATTGATGGAATTCATTAAACCAGTCATATATTACAAGAACTCAAAATCTTGACAAAATAATTTTTTAAAGATATCAATAAAAAATGTCCACACTGCAATAAAGTTTCGCCTAATGTCAGAAAAGAAGGTGTGAGTAAGTTTTTTTTAATGGAAAAAAGTGAAAAAGGAAGCAAGGATGCCTAAGAGGACTAACAATAATAAGGATCAAATAAGAAGAAAAATCATTATTTAAATCCAATGGAAATTTCAGAACATATACATTAATTATGGCGTTGGGATTAAGATTTACTAAAATACATATATGGTAGCATTTATGTTAATGCTAACACGTTAAAAAATGCTAAAAAGGGTTATGAATTAAAAAAGATTTCTCCAGAAAATTTTTTTATAGAAGTATTAATTGTTCCAGCCAATCGATATAGACCTGAAAACAAAGTAAATGATCAAACATTTTTGCATGGTCATACTGTCACTTACACAAGAATTTTAGAATTCAATTAAGAATTAAAAGTATTAATAACGAATATGACAAATGCTCCTGCTTAAACATAAAGCAGTATGGAAGCTTTGAAGCAATCAGACCATATGAAAAATAATTTGAAGAAAATCATTCGATTAGATACAATAATGTAGAAATGGTTAGAACTNTATTAGATTATATATTGAATTAATGATTTTAAAAAGTGAATTTTTGATATTTTATGTTTAATTACAAGAATTAGCATTAAAGATGTTAAACTAGCATTAAAATATTATGTGTGATAAATATGTATAAATTCATATATTAGTTTTATAATAAAATTTAATTAATGCTGACTGATTAATCTGTGATTACAAAAAGAATTTAGTCAGTTCATTTTGGATATTATACAGCAAAAGAAATAAGAGAAATGAGTGTCAAAGAAATATCAAATCCTAAAGCTTTTGATAAACTCAATCATCCCATTCGAGGTGGTCTTTATGATCCAGCTTTAGGAGTTTAACCACATGAACGAGGCACTAGATGCGTCACATGTGGTTAAGAGAACATGGATTGCACAGGACATGTAGGTCATATTGAATTGCTACTTCCTGTTTACAATCCATATTTAGTAAATTAACTAATGAGTCTAATGAGATCAAAATGCTATTATTGTCATAAATTAAGAATAACTAAAGATAGAAAGAAGTTTTATAAAAACAATTTTAAATTACTAAGGTTAGGGAGATTGATTGAAATGAAAAAGTATCAAAAACTATACATGACAAAATTGAGATTAAACAAATAAACTAAGAATGCTGAAAATAGGAAATAATCTATAACTGCTACTGACACATCAAGAAAGGGAAGCGATCATAGAAAAGGAAGTGATAATAAAATGCAATGTGATTAAGAAACAGCACCTTAAGAATTCTTAGACATTGAGGATGTTAAATCATAAATCTAAGAAATTCTTGATATACTTTAAGTAAAAAAACATCAATCAGAGTACATTGATGGAATTCATTAAACCAGTCATATATTACAAGAACTCAAAATCTTGACAAAATAATTTTTTAAAGATATCAATAAAAAATGTCCACACTGCAATAAAGTTTCGCCTAATGTCAGAAAAGAAGGTGTGAGTAAGTTTTTTTTAATGGAAAAAAGTGAAAAAGGAAGCAAGGATGCCTAAGAGGACTAACAATAATAAGGATCAAATAAGAAGAAAAATCATTATTTAAATCCAATGGAAATTTCAGAACATATACATTAATTATGGCGTTGGGATTAAGATTTACTAAAATACATATATGGTAGCATTTATGTTAATGCTAACACGTTAAAAAATGCTAAAAAGGGTTATGAATTAAAAAAGATTTCTCCAGAAAATTTTTTTATAGAAGTATTAATTGTTCCAGCCAATCGATATAGACCTGAAAACAAAGTAAATGATCAAACATTTTTGCATGGTCATACTGTCACTTACACAAGAATTTTAGAATTCAATTAAGAATTAAAAGTATTAATAACGAATATGACAAATGCTCCTGCTTAAACATAAAGCAGTATGGAAGCTTTGAAGCAATCAGACCATATGAAAAATAATTTGAAGAAAATCATTCGATTAGATACAATAATGTAGAAATGGTTAGAACTTTAAGATTGTGTTGTTGGATTAGTTAATTCTGAAAGAGCTTAAAATAAATAAAATAGAGAAACTCCAGGAGTTAAATAATTATTAGAAAGAAAATAAGGGTTGTTTAGAATGAAAATGATGGGGAAAAGAGTTAATTTTGCTTGCAGATCAGTGATTTCACCAGACCCATTATTAAGTACTAATGAAGTAGGAGTCCCTACAGTATTAGCTCGAAAATTAATTATACCAGAAAATGTAAACTCATTAAATCAATAATATGTGGCTGACTTAATTATGAATGGTCCTGTTTATCCTGGAGCATTATACTTTCAAGAGGATGGCAAAAAAATTGCGCTTGAATATTTGACGCCATAATAAAGAATGGCAATAGTAAGAGAATTAGGAAGTGGAGAAAATAAAGTTGTTTGGAGACATTTAAGAACAGGAGATGTCATGTTGTTTAATAGATAACCAAGTCTTCATAAACCAAGTATTATGGGACATATTGTAAGGGTACTACCAAATGAATAAACAATTAGATTTCATTATGCAAATTGTAAATCATATAATGCCGATTTTGATGGGGATGAAATGAATCTTCATTTTATTTAAAGTATGATTGGAAGAGCTGAAGGTTATAACATAGCATTAAATGATTATTAATATATTTCATAAACGAATGGTAAGCCATTAAGAGAATTAATGCAAGATATGATTGTAAGTAGTGTGTTTTTAACATTAAGAGATACATTTCTTACTAAATAACAATATATGCAATTAATTTACACTGCAATTTGGAGTTTATTTGAGAAAAACAGTTAAAAAATAGAATTACTTCAACCTGCAATCCTTAAACCAAAATAACTTTGGACTGGTAAGTAATTGATAAGCAACATTATTAAGATTATAGTAGGTTTGAATGGATATGATCCAGATATAGGATTAAATCTTGAGTCAAAATGTAAATTGTCTTCCAAAGAATTACCAGGAATGGCATCAGATGATATTTAAGTATTGATAAAAGACAACGAACTATTATTGGGAATAGTGGACAAAAATTAAGTTGGTTCAGGTGCAGATTATGGTATGATGCATGCTTTTCATGAACTATATGGACCTAAGATGACTGGACAATTGTTAACTGGTTTTGCTCGTCTATTTGCAGCATATTTGTAATATCATGGATTTACTTGCGGGATGGATGATTTAATAGTAGATGAATTACACGATGAAAAAAGAAGAGTTTTGATTGAAGAGAATTTAAAGAAAGGTGTTAAATAAGCTGCTGAATATTGTGGCTATAATGCGTAGATACCAGAATCGATTAATTTATTTAATAGATCAAATTTTGTTTTTGAAAATGGATAATATAATCATCCAAAATACTTATAAGATATTCATTATTTATAATATGACCATCAAATCTATGAAGCCTTAAGATAAAAAATTTTGATAGAAAAACATCAAGAAGAGGCTTTAGATTAAGAATACAAGAAAGCTATGACTAAAGTGACTTCAGAAATAGTTGGTTCAACCTTGGGTGGATTATAGAAATTGTTTCCATTAAACTTGTTTTCGATGATGACTATGACAGGTGCCAAAGGAAGTAATGTGAACCATTCTTAAGTTTCTGCTCTGCTAGGATAATAAGAGTTGGAAGGCAGAAGAGTACCTCTAATGCCAACAGGAAGATCTCTTCCCTCTTTTTTACCTTATGATCCGAATCCAAGAGCAGGAGGCTATGTAGCAGATAGATTTTTGACAGGATTAAGACCACAGGAGTTTTTCTTTCATTGTATGGCTGGTAGAGAAGGTTTAATTGACACAGCTGTAAAAACAAGTAGAAGTGGATATTTATAGAGATGTCTAATAAAACATCTCGAAGGGCTGATTGTTTAATATGATTTAACAGTGAGAGATAATGATGGATCATTAATTTAATTATTCTACGGAGAGGATGGTATTGACACTACAAAAACTAAATATTTAGAAAAGTTTAGCTTTCTGGCTTAAAACAATCAACATTATAAATAACTTTACAGAGTATAGGAGATGAAATAGCATTTTAAAACATTAGATGGAGCTTCTGTAGAATTGGAAAATGATACTTTAATGAATGCTTTTAACCCCTCTTAAAATTTAGGAGCTGTTTCAATGAAAGTCTAAACAACAATGAATGAATATTTGTAAAAATGTTAAAATGAACTCCAGCAAAAAAAAATATCTAATAAATAATTTAAATCATTAGCAAATATTAGATATCTTAGGGCATTGATGCATCCTGGTGAAGCAGTTGGATGTGTAGCTGCTCAATCTATAGGAGAGCCATCAACTTAAATGACTTTAAACACTTTTCACTTGGCAGGACATGGTGAAAAAAATGTCACATTGGGTATTCCTAGATTGAGAGAAATTTTAATGACTGCAACAAAAAAATAAAAAACACCAACTATGTCTCTTTAATTCTTAAATGCCAACATTGAGAAATCTTAAGCAGATAGATATGCAAAGAGAATGTCAAAATTAGTTTTTCTAGAATTAGTCAATAATATCAAAGTTAGAGAATACAAAAGATTAACAGAAAATGGAATTCCACTTCATTCATTATTAAGAGGAGTGATATATGAAATTGATGTTGAATTAGAGGATCTCAACTAGATCAAATATGTTTTTGGAATTTCAGAAGATCAAATAAAAAATGTAAATATTTATTTAATTTTATAGAAAGTTAATCATGTTTTTATTCCACTATTATTAAAAATTATTCAGGCAGAGTTAAATAAAAATTCTTCGAGATGTGTTGAGAAGACCAGTTTCCTGAAAACTAAAGAAAATGAAGCTAAAAAGTAAAGAAAGGGATCTGATGAGGAGGACGATGATGATGAAGATTAATAAGAAGAATAAGATGATTTATCTGAGCTTAATTAGGATGAAGAAGTACTAAATATTATTAATTAAACTTTCGAATAATCAGCATAATAGTATGATATATTTGAGGAATCCCATTAATAATAAGAATCACAAAAAAAATAAACTCCGAAGAAAGAATAGCAATAAATACCTTAGACAACATAACATAAATATTTAGAAAAGGTTGAAGTCCAAAAATAACTAATAAAAGTAGTTATTAAATTGCCTTTAAACAGTAAAAAAATGTTAATGACAAATGTTGTAAAAAAAACATTGTCAAACACAGTAATCAATGAAATTAAAGGAATAAATAAAGCAAAGATCATAAAAAATGATAAAAGTGGAGGTGCATCATTTATGATATATACTGAAGGAGTCAATCTCAATAAAATTAGAAATTTCGATTTTATAAATTTGAATAATATTGATTGCAATGATATTGTTGCAATTATGAATGCTTTTGGTATTGAAGCTGCTAGAAATGCCATAATCAAAGAAATTTTAGCGGTCTTTGGAGCATATGGTGTTGCTGTTGATTATAGACACTTGTATTTAATCGCAGATTATATGACATTTGGAGGACAAATCAGAGCAATGAATAGAATATATATGGATGTAAATATTAATCTAAATATAATAGTTCAACACTGCTCCATTTGGTAAAATGACTTTTGAAACATCAACCTAATTCTTAACTAATGCTTGTTTGAACAGAGAGACTGATACTTTTAATAACTTAAGTTCGCAGTTAGTAATAGGAAGAGTTCCAAAAGTAGGATCAAACTTATGTGATGTTTTATATTAATTTGAAACAGAGGAATGAAAATGTTTTTATGTTGAAAAATATAGATGTAGATTATTTTAGTATTCAAAATCAGATTTAATCTTAATCTTGCTCCTATTTGTTTTCTGTTACTCTATATAATCTGAAAATGCAATAGATCAATATGTCAATTCCTAAAATATCGATTAAATTTATCACAATTGATAAATAATTAAAATTTGCAAGTATCATCTTAAATATTAATTTAAATTACATAAACTGTTTAACTTCCCAGAGAAAGTGCGACATAGATTGCAGTTACTCCATAAATTATTCTATCTGAGTAGTTCTAGACTATTCTTCTAACAATTTTATCAATAAGTCTATTAGAGATAAAAAATACAGGAATAAAAACAAAAACATAAAACGTCATTAAATCAACATAAATAAGTTAAAATGTTAATCTTGCCCAACATTGAATATAAATAATTGGTAGTTTGTGAGTTAATTATATAGTACCTTTAATGATTGGAAAGTAGAGCTAAATATAACATCTACAATTACAAGAAAAGGCTTCATCTTTTTATTATCTGTTTATTAGTTTATTTATGATTAGGGTATCAATTTTGATCCATGATCAGATTGATTAGTATTTATATTTTTTCTTGCAGTTTCAGGGGCAATTAAATTTGTCACAAATTAACTATGCTTTCTTATTGTATTTCTGTGTTTGCTTGACTCAGGGGTGGTTTACAGATTGCTATTAGTTGAAATTATGGTTAAGATAGTATGATTTTTTATTGATTTTCTGATGTTTGTATGCTTGTTTGATTCATTTTATGTATTGGTTGTTTGAGACAATTTCAAAGTTGTTGCTCTTGATTTTCTTTTTACTTATTTTTGTTCATCAACATTTGCATCCGGATCTAAGGAGTGATGATGGTGAAAAAAGGATGCTCCTGGGGAAAATAATTAAGGTTTCGTTTATGATCTTCTTTATTTTCTTACCTCTAGATAATAACAATAATTACTTTAGTATTTTATAAACTATTATTTTATACATTCAAACTAACTGAGAATCAAAAGAATAATAAATACAGCATCTATTGAAAGTAAATAGTATAATTAGGAAAAATTCATTATTTCTAATATTATTATTTATTTATTTAATAACATTTTTGTTTAATATATATCAATCTCTATAGTTTATAAAGATGCTCAATAATCATTCTCCTCATTAATTAAATTATGTTTAAGTCTCAATTTCTTAATAACTTTACAATTCTCAGGTTGGCATAAAGAATCATTATAAATGCAAATGAACGATCCTTAGGTTTATAAACTGTTCTGATAATTGATAATCAAACTGGAAAAATCTTTGAACAGCAAGAAGCTCCCTAGATAGAAGGGGAAACTTGTTTGGAAGAGATACAAGCATCATCTATTTTAGGTATATATTAAGGACAGCTTTAAAAATATTTAATTGTTTGTAAGAAGTGCGAATTAGTGGCTTAAGTATTAAAATAGAAATACTATAGAATTTAATCTGTAGGCTTTATAGGATTTCAATTTTGTTTAGATAAAAAAATGTATTAAGAAGAGTATGGGCAAATATAATCTATAAAAGAAGTATAGTCTTTTTCTAAATTTATAGTACCTATCGAATCATTTTTACTTTAGTTATAATGGAAATCCAGCCTAGCCATTATAGAGCTGCTACAATAATAATTATAGGGATTTTTCAGAATTTTTATGGAATAATCATCTTACAAATAAATTTTAAGATTATGACATTCAGCCACAATGGTATTGTAAAATGATTTAAGGTTATGTTGGATAATTTCAAAGTAAACTAGGGAATGAATAGATTAAATATATTTTGATTAGTAGAAAATGCAGATATTAATCAGGTACAAGATTTCATCATAGAGGAATTAACGATGATGGTTATGTTGCCAATTACGTAGCAACAGAATTCGTAATTATGGTTAAAGGGTTTTGTATAAGTCATGTCATTTATAGAGGGAGTGTTCCAACATTTTGGAAACAAAAAGGAATCACAGGATAAGTGAAAATTACAAGAAATGAATAGCTATGTGTTCATGCCTATCTTAAGCATTTTAATGATTTGCAAGAATGTTATAAAAGCATAAGTTGTATTAATTTGATGGGGGAAAATACATCTGAAAGCACTCTAAATGAGGCTTTTAAAAGCTTAGTTGAAAAAAATTAAATAGATGGAGTTAGTTTAGTTCGCATTGATTTTCATAAAATTTGCAAAAATGAGAAATTTAAATAAATTGATAATTACATTCGAGCTTCAGATAAGGAAAGTATTTAATTTGATTGTTTTGCAATAAACACAGTGAATTAATAAATAATGTCTTTGCAATAAGGATCATATAGAGTCAATTGTTTAGATTGTTTGGATAGAACTAATGCTTATTAAAGTCGTTTGTGTTTAAGGATAACCGACTTACTACTTGTAAAATATTAAGTAAATCATGATTTAGATTTACTTTATATGATTGAAGACACTAAAGCTTGTGAGTTCTTGAATTAATATAGAGTAATTTGGGCTGAAAATGGAGATGCTATCAGTTAATTATATTGTGGAACAAATGCAACCACCAGTGAATTTACAAAAAAAGGAAGAACCACATTCAAAGGATTTTTTACCCATAATTTGGCATCAATTGGAAGATTATTTAATTAGACATTTATTGATTCAACAAAAAATTAAATAATTGAATCTTATTTGCATGGAATCCAAAACTAAAGATCTTCTCTTTAAATTTATCTGCAAAGTTAAGTTAAATCTTATTGTAAATTTCAGAAATATAAATTATTTGCTTTAACTTGGAATGTAAATGGCAATTTAATTCTAAATTTGTAAAAAGACGTATTAGAATTTCACTAAGATTATATCCCAGACTTTATTGTCATTTCTTTATAAGAAATATAGTAATATAAAGCTCATAAGATAATTGGATAAAATCAAGATATTGTAAATGAATGGATTAAAAGCATTGAATCATCTATAAATATGAATGGAAAGTAATTCTGTTTGGTTTAATAAGAAAATTTAGTGGGAATGTTGATATTAATATATTCTAAAGTTACTCTTGTCCAACTCATCAGCAAAATTTCAACTGATAGAATTAAAACAGGTCTTGAAGGTCATAGCGGAAACAAGGGAGCATGTTTAATTCGATTTTAGATCAAAGATTCTGAAATTGCTGTTTGCAATTGCCATTTAGCATCTGGATATGGCAAAAATAAACGAAGAATGGAAAGTCTTGAAGAAATCCACGAAAAGGCTTTTAAAAATTCAATGAAACCCCTAGATTCATCAGATTATACTTTATTAATGGGCGATATGAATTTTAGATTGAATTCAAATTAAGCTTCAACTCTGGATCTAATTGAATAACAAAAGTAATTCTACTAGTAAGGCAATTTAAGGTAGGCTGAATAATGTATCATTAAACTTTAACAATAAGATTAAGCTTATGAAGCAAAAACAAAATATCCTCTACAGGAATACCAAGAAGCCTGTATTACCTTTTTACCTACATATAAATTAAATGCTAATCATACATACCAAACAAAGAAATAAGAGTAAATTCCATCTTATTGTGATCGAATTTTTATTAAGACAAATGAATAAGCCTTAATCAAATAATTATTTTATAAAAGTATTGAGAGATTTGACAGTGATCACTTACCAGTCACTGCAATGTTTATTATTGATGTAAAATCAATAGATAAAGAAAAAGAAGCTAATTTAATAAAGGAATTTACTTAAAAAAGTAATCAATTAGAGGAGGAAGAAAATACTTTAGAAGAATAGCAAAAATATGAAAAATCAGCTACATAAAAGTCAGAAAATAAAAAAGGAATGTTTTAATAATTTAAGGATAAATTTCTTAAGTGATTGATTGAAAATAATATTATAATACAATTCAATAATTTCTTTTTTCATTAACTTATTAGGATTTATAAAACTCACAAAAAAGAAATTAGGTTTTTGTAGAATTGAATTAGTATTTCTTATGATAATTATAGTTGTAGTTTGTATTTTTAATTTCACAATTTCTGTAAAATTTAATAATTGATCTTGAAGGACCTTGTAAGAATCAATTTTTAAACTCTCTATGAGGCTAAAAAGCCTAATGACTATAACTTTAGCTAATTAATTTTATTATTAAAATCACCAATAATATTATCAAGATTCTTTCTGCTTGTAATTGCAGTAACTGACTTATTCTAAGAATACTTATTTGATTTGATTTTATCTGCTCTCTGAAAAGTTTTGAAAAGCCAAAAATTCTGCAACTTTTAAAGGATATTCAATTTCTTTATAATTCGAAAAAGAAAGTTTGCACACAATATAATTTCTGAATCTTATCTTAGCACAACTACAGAGGAGATAATAATTAACTAGGTTGTATTATTAAATGGAAAGGGATTCGAAATATTAGGGGAATATAAGATAGTATGAGTTTGAAATAATTATCAATATGTCAAATTTAGGATATAAATAATAATAGAATAGATCTATAGGGGTGCCTGATTTCTATAATGGTTTTATATCTGAAAATTTTAATTAATTATATAAGTAAATAAAATAGTATTAGATGAACCCAGTAAGAGTGTTTCCTATAAAATTTAATGAGTCACAATAATAATCAAACAATCAATAATCAAGTGCTAGTTCTCCATTGCTAAAGAAAAAATAAGTATAATAACAGCCATCAGAAAGATCAAATGTTATAAATATGTCTCCCGTGATGTAAATAATATGAGATTAATTTAGAAATGGGCAATAATAAAATAAGAGTAAAATGCAACTGAAGAGATATTAAACTATAAGCAATGGAATATAAGATGATAAAGTGAAAATAGTAATTTCAAATCAATTATGTTAGATCCAACAATAAAGATTATCTTAGGGATAGCCAATTAGTTATTCTCCAAAGAAAAGAGTGATCAGTTCAAATTATTAAGAAGTATTTTTAATTAATATTTAGGTACCCTCTCCTACAAAATTACCGAATTTAAAAAAAGCAGAGAATACATCAAGTTAGGATATTTTATAAAAAATCGATTTAGGATTAGCCCAAAAAAGAAGCAAAAGAACAGATGCAAGCAATGAAGTAACTCCATCGGTATATTTGAATTGAATATATTTTTAGAGCAGAGCATAAATAATCAAATTACTTTAAGATACTTCGCCTAAACAGAAAGTTAATAACTCAAGAGCAAAAGTGGAATCTCAAACGATTGATTAAGACACAAGCATAAAACCAAGAATGCCTTAGCAAATGGTTATGTTACATGGAAGATCAACGAGTTAGGCAACATTAGTAAATAATCAAACGAATGAATATGAAATGCAAGATTATGTTCAATTGTTCTTTTCAAAGTATCAATATTATAAAATAAGGTCTCAAGCTGGTTAAAATGGAAATGGCTAAACAAAAACCAATTAAGATAGTGTTATAATTACAAATAATTTAGGCGGAATCAAAAACAGGTATATTTTCTCGGTTTGTGATGGGCATGGTGTCTACGGCCATTATGTTTCTTAATTAGTCAAAAGAGTGCTTCCAACCATAATAGATCAATAAATTAAGACCTTCATAGGGAAATAAGAATAAGATATAAGTGAAAACTACGAATAAGAAATTCATAAGGTTTTGAATTCAAGTTTTAATAAAATGACAAAGGACTTGTCGAATTCTGGAATTGATATTACATTTAGCGGAACAACTTGTTCACTGGTCTTCCTATCCGGACCTCATTTGTGGTGTGCAAATATTGGGGATTCAAGATCTGTAAGTCATTATTCTAAAATTAGATCTTTATTGAATAACAAAATTTCAATAAATGGCATCTAGTAGAATTATCCAATGATCATAAGCCTGATTTACCTTCTGAGTTTAAGAGAATTATTTCAAATCGAGGAAGAGTTGAACCTTATATCACAGAAATAGGAGAAAAAATAGGTCCGGCAAGAGTTTGGTTATAACATGAACAAATACCAGGTTTAGCTATGAGTAGATCATTTGGGGATTATGTTGCTTCAACGGTAGGAGTAAGTTCAGAACCTGAGATTATTCATCACAAAATGGATGCTAATTGTGCATTTCTAGTAGTAGCAAGTGATGGAGTATGGGAATTCTTTTCAAATGAAGAAATCTAAAAAATCGTTATTTCTCATTGGAGTCCAAACATGACAGCTAAAAAGATCGATGAGATTTGCGATATTATTGTTAGGGAATCAACTAAAAGATGGTAAGAAGAAGATGAAGTTATCGATGACATATCTATTGTTATTGCTTATCTCCATAGATAATGATATTATCTATTCATGTAATGCACATCAATTTTTTCTTTATTTTAAATTATTTAATAAATAACCCTTTATCATTCCTGTTCTATTGTCTTTTATTATCTTTTGGCTGCCAATTCTGCTTTTTTAGATTACAACCTTCTTAATTCTTCCATTACATCTTTTTTATTTTACCCTGTATTTGTTTCTTAATTTTATTATTATTATTGTTATTTAACTTATTATTAATTTTTTAGGTTTTCATTTTATTATTACAAAGCATCAAGATTACATGATTATGACATCTTTTTTCTCTAATCTCTTTGTAATTTCTATTCTTAAGATTTTATTCTTGCTATTTGAGTTAGTGCCTACAATTATTTTTCAATAATACATTCTAATAATCCTTCCAGATTTTATCAATCTTAATAAAAAACTCATCTGATTGTAATTTAGGATCTTCACAGTAGTATTGTAATAACCCTTTATATTTGCTATCTAATATTGCATTTTTTTCTTCCAATTTCTTAATTCTTTCCTGTAATTATTCTTGTAGAACTTTAAATCTATTTATATTCATATATCATACTTTGCTCCTGCTTAATCACTTGAGTCTTCTCCATGACTCTTTTTAGCTCTCTCTACAACTCTCTCCATTCTTTTTAATTCATTTATATCTTATGAAAGTGAAGATATTGATGTTTTGCAGAGAAAATCATAATCAATTTTAGCAAGAAAGTCTTAATCGTATAAAGAGTAACCTAAATCAGTTTCAATTTGTAGGATTATAACAATCAATAAATTAGTTTTATTATCGTTAGATTTTACATCATCTAATTAACTCATTATATCAAGTTTAAATGCATATGCTCCTCCTCTTGTTGATTGTCCATTTAAATAATTCCCATATCCTAAAGAGTATTCCAACATTATTTGTAATTTTTTATCTTCTTGTTATAGTTTGATTCCATTTTCTATCTTATTTTATTTTGCTTCAACGCTTTCATAAAGTCCGGTCCATTCATAACTTATTACTATAGCTTCTGCTCTTAATTTGATCTATGGCACCGTGCTCAAATCCATAAAATATAAGTCTGGTGTCGCAATTGATGAAAGGTCTGGAGGGTTAAAGTGTAAAAACACTTCTTATTCCTCTTTTTCTGGAACCGCATTTATAATCATCGCTATTTTTTCCTCTGTTAATATGCTCGTATCAATTTTTAAAAAAGCTTCCCTTAATGTCAAAGAACTTATCTTTAATCTCGAAATAACTAATTCAACATTCTTGCAGCGTTCTGCCTGTAATTGAGAAACCTTTTATTTTATCTATTACTTTTAAGAAGGTAGTGCATTACCAGTTGCTTTAACTAATTCAACTTTGCAAAATTACTCCTCCAATATAGAAGTATTTATTTTTATTTTTGAGTCGTCAATCTTCTCCCAAATTGTAGTTTTTAGCTTATCTTCTTTTATTACAACCCAAGGGACTTATTTCATAGGTTTCTAGGGATTTTATTTCTTCTTAACAATTTATTAAGGTATTCCAGGTCCTTTAGCGTTAGCACTACCAAACGTAGGTGGAGGAGGAGGAGGAATTCCTTTTTATCCTGGAGGAGGTGGTGGTGGTGGAGGACCTTGAAATCCTGCTTTTTATCCAGGCATTGGAGGAGGTGGTGGAGGAGGAGGAGGCCCTGCTTTTTAACCTGGTAAAGGTGGTGGTGGAGGAGGAGGAGGAGGTCCTGATTTTTAACCAGGCAAAGGAGGTGGTGGAGGAGGAGGTGGAGGTCCTGATTTTTAACCAGGCAAAGGAGGTGGAGGAGGAGGCCCTGCTTATTGAACTGGCAATGGTGGAGGCGGAGGAGGAGCTTATTTATGTTAACCTGGCAAAGGTGGAGGAGGAGGAGGAGGTGGTGGTGGAGGATGCGATTTTACTGTATTAGATTAACTATTTTATGTCTGTATAGCTTATGTTTAGGTTTACAGTTTGTGCTCGATTTTCTTGATGTATGTGTCAGCATCGATTAATTTTTCCTTCAACTAACTTAACTCTTATTAAATCTTAGCTTTCTCATTAATGTGAGATCTTATTTAATTTTCAAGTTGGGTACATTTTTCTTCAGATGCCAATAAATCTAATTTGAGAGGATCATTTTTTCGAAGTTCAATCATTTTATCCACAGCCACAGACATCATTTATGAGATGACATTAACTCCAATTTTGGCAGCAGATTGTAAATAATCTTAGAAAGAATCTAAAACTTAGGGATATAGAGTAGCCTCTCTGATTTGTGTAAGAAGTTTTTGATAATCTAAATCAGGAATTCTTAGTTTAATTGACCTTTCTTCATCAAGGAATGTTGTAATAGACCCTGCTCTTTTTGTTCTTGACTTTTTATCAACAATTAATTTTTTGGGTTTCATAACTTTTGCGTATACCTTTTCAGTCAATTCTAAGAAAGCATCAATTTATGCAAGAGCTTCTGAAATAGCATTTTCAAATTTTTTTGAAGCCTCTAGATCTTACAGATCTATAAATAAATCCGTGCAGAGTGCTGCACAAATACTTAATTCTACTGGTTTACCATCAGGAGGGAGTAACTTTCTTTTTCGAGTAGAAGGATTGATTTTGTAATGTTAATATTGTTCTAGGAGCATTTCATCCATATATTAATAAGTGCAATGTTCGATTTTATAATAGCCACTTTGGATTTTGACTTTGACATCCTCGATTAAAAATCTCAGTCCAAAATTAATAAGCAGTGCTTTTAATTTATTACTATATTCGACATCTTCGTGTGCTTCCATAAAATAATTTATAAATCTCACCATATTCATAATGGAGAAAAGGCTTTTATTTTATTGCAAGATCTAAATAAATGGTTCAAAGGGATAATTCCACATTCCGTTCCTTTTCATTTCCATCCATGATATTGAAATCTAATTCATTTTTTCATCAGTCTGATTTTTACAAATGACTATGTAGATTTCCAATAGTAAACTAAAATTAACAGAGTGCAAAGGATTCAGAATTTCTGCAAGTTCATTTAGAATTGGTTAATTTAAATCTAGATTACAATTTTAGTGAATGCAATGTAATATAATGTTTAATATTAAACACTTTAGATAATATTTGAATATATTACTTCTTTGTCGTGATATCCTTCGCATTCAAGCTTTAATAGATTTCGTAATTGCTCTATCAATTATTTATCTTCAATGAATTTTTCTAAATCTTCTTTGTTAAGAGTTCGCAAGTATATTAATAATTCTTAAAGTCCTTCTTCAGAACCAGTAATGCATGGGGCTGTTTCTATCGATTTGTTCATCATGAATGATTGAATTAATTGCGCTTTGAAATCTAAGAAGTCAGTTATATAAAGTACTTGTAGGAAGATGTTGGAGCTTATTTATTTTATCAATTTTCAAGTTGATAGACGAAAGGACCAAATCCCAATCATCTTGGTTGATATCATTAGCTTAAAATTAAGGATCAAAGACAAGGGTAATAGGCTTAATTAGATATTAAATGGGAATACTTTGGCTTGATTTCTAATTTAATAGGTTAATTTCAATTTATCAGGAGAAGGTGGTAAATATTTTGGGTTTATTTAACCCATGAGTTAATTCTAATTAATAATATTGAATAATGATCATAACAATTTGAATATGAAATAATTAATAAAAATGTATAGGATGAAGAAGGAGAAAAAGTAGACGAACTACTCTTCACAAGCTACTCCTCCTTTTTTAATTGTTCTGTCGTTTGTTGATTATATGGCCCTGTTGTTACCATTCCCAGAAGCGAAAGTTGAGTTACTCAAGAAATATGTGTTAAAAGCATCTAATTAAGTCTAGGTGATTGGTAAAATGGAATCCAGAATATACCAGTTCACATTCTCATCACAATCTAATGTATTAGGAGATAATTAAACCTGGAATAGTTAAGGACCCAACATAGGTGTAATAGGCTGGATTGGCATCTAACTATGACCCCAAGAGATCGTTGAAATTTATTGAAGCTATAGTGGAAGTAACGGACGCTGTTGTCGTTGTATTGGTTGTATTAGTTGTATTGGTTGTGGTAGTATTAGTTGCAGCAGATGCCACCAACGTAAAGTCGTATGTTGTGAAGAATGGTTGATCTGTGCTTGATACTTCGAATAATATTGAAACTATGGCTTTGGTTATGGTGGCACTGAACTCAGACTAAAATTCAATATATATTAATTACTTTTAATTCATGCACAATTTGCATTTCTAGGTCATATCTGGTTCCCTCTATTGTATGTTCGGAAGGACCGTGAAACATAAATGATGTTGCAGTGTAGCCTAATGTATTTCATCAAAATACCATAAAGATTTCCATTGATGTCTGTTGCATATAAATTTGAGACTGCTGCTTTCGATTGAATTGTATATTGGACTCTCTCCATGACTATTTACATAGCATCCTTCTTAAATTAAATGTCCAGAACCATAGAATTGTCACATGTTCCAGATGATACTTCTAAGTTAATGGGGCTCTGAGAAGTACTACCTAATATCATAATAATTAATATTATCACTTGAGCAAACTCCTGTAGTCCAATCAGATCCTTAACTAGCATAACTTATTGTTGTTGTGGTTGTTTGACTTTAAACAATATATAAAAGTGGAATTATCAAAACAATCATTCAAATTTCAATTATTTAATTAATTATATACTTCATTTTGATTTTTCCCTTTTGTTATCATCTTCATCAAATAGTGAATTATCCTATATTCTTTAATTCCAATATACTGAAATTTATAAAAACAATAATCATTTTATTTTTGACTTACGAATATGTCTCAATAACTCTATTTCTCCTTTAAGCTAAGTTTAATTATTCAGATTGAATTTATCTTATATTTATACAATTCTTAAGATGATAATTTTAAACAAAAAGATTTTTAAATTTTGTTATCACAATATAACATGAAGATCAATCTCAAATAAGCTTCGTTTATTTAGAAGAGCATTTACTCATATTCTAAATTCATGAATCATTTAAAAATCTCCTTGTTGTTAAGAACATCATTACAATCTTTAGTAACTTACAAAAACAAAAGAAAAACCTTTAATTCATATGAATTATATTTAATAATTTAGTTGAGTAGCACACAGAATGACATTAATAATTTTTAATATCCCATTGTATCTTTTCAATAATAAAAAGAGATAATTGATATAATACTCTTTTTTTGGTAATATTTCGAAGAGTTACTTTTCAAGAATCGCTCGGACTCAAAATTCACATCGAGCTATGAAAATCAAAAATTAAATAATCATAATATATATAAATTCTTCACTTAATGTAAAAAATAAAAATAAATTATTCATTATTTAATCAGTGATTTTCCGAGTAAAGGTTGGATCTCGACTTTTTGATGGTTCTAAATAAGAATACATAAGATTCAAATACTTTCATTCCATAATTAGTTCCAACTCTCAATTAAGGTGCTGTAGATAATTAACTTCTTAGTAAATTTGGTTTTGCAGTTTAAGGAACACTAAATTAAAATTTCTCATGATTCTGAATATTCATAAATCTTCCTTAAGATCTTGATTTTTGGCTGATAGCGGTTTTGGTAAACTAATTATTCACTTATATTGTATACATCACTTTGAGTTTTAAATAAAGACTTAAATGTATTGGAATTAAATGAATTTTATTATGTTCTTTAAAATTTTCTTAATTCTTGTAAAACTGATATTGGCAAATGATCTCCAGGTAAAATTGGATTGGTAATAGTCTTTGATTTCTCTTCAAGGATTGGCAATTAATGTTCTTGAACTGAGGATCCGTTAAATTTAAAATATGGTTCAGAATTACTATATGACATCTAGTGTGCTGCCAAAGCATTTTTAAAGTCTTCTTCGAAATTCCTGATTTTCAGTGTTAGGGGAGGTTTATTTTTTGTGCTTTACTATAATAATAATAAGTGGTATTTACGATTTATAATTCATCTACATTGATATTATATTAGGTTTTAGCTAAATGTATATATTTAGATACATCTTGCTTCAATTTAATGATAGAGTTATTAGTTTTTTCCTTCAACTTAAATAAGCTTTAAGTCTCAGGGACTTGATGTGATCTTACGATAGCATCAATTTCTCTTAATTTTTTAGGAACCTTCAATTGTTATTCCTTCTGTATCACATTAGGTTATTTTTAAGATTTGGGGCTTTTGGAAGCGCTCTGAGAATTATAAACTAATTGTAAGGGTAGGATTTTACAGGAATTTTTGTAGAGGTTGAATCTTTATTCATTTCTCTTAACGAATTCTTGTTCTTGATCTAGATTTTGGCTTTCTCCAACTTCTTCATGAATGATGTCAACTTCAGGGGTTGATTGATTTCGCTTTTAGACGCTTATGGTTTAATTGAGATTGATCATTTCCATGTATTTCTTGAACTTCTCCAATTAGGAAATGGATGTATCCTATAAATAGAAAGATAGTTTAAAACATCAATGGCTTTTTTTAATTCATCTCGACTTGCCAGATAACTGAGATAAGAGATCATGTTGTTGAAAGTGAAGGGCATGTATTTTCCAGCAGGAGATGAACTGTCTAATTTTTATTCTTTCTCCATATTCTCTCTTAGTTCTTTCATGATTTCATAGAAGACTACAAGGATATGGGAAAGTGCATACCTTATGCGGCTTGTTCGTTGAAAGCTGAATTTTTGAATTCACTCCAATTTAAAGCATCTTTGATTACATTTATCAATTACTATCTCTGTCTTTGTCAACAATTTTGAAAAACTTTTGCAATTGTTCTTCAGTGATTTTGAAACCATTTTTTTAAAACATCTCATATAACTCGCTCATGTCCAAATTGTCTAAATTAAATTCAACTCTTGTACTTGATTTGTTTTAGTCGAAATTTTAGAAGATCTTTTTAACTTCCAACTATTGTTTGATTTCTTCTGGGAAATACAAATATTTCTTTTTGACTTTGTCATTATATCTGCAGATTACAATTAATAATTCACCTTTTCTTAAACCAATCATGAACATCTCGAGATTACAAGATGGATCTCTTAATGCCTGATAGTTTCTCTATTGTGAGTCCATCGAATTCATCTTCTAAATTGTCATTGGCATTTATCATGTTAGATAAAAATAATAATTTATTTTGTTTATTTTATATATATAACAATTACCTAATTTAATGTCTCATTTTACTATGAAATGCAATCGAAATTGTTGAAGTGAGTCAGATAATCAATAAATTTAATATAAATTTGACATGATTTAAGAATAAAAATTAAGTGAATGTTGAGATTAGTATTATTTACAATTTAAATTTATGAATTTCAATACTCTTTTATTGGAAAAAGATAATGATCTTCGTAGTTTAGCATTGAGAGAAATGTTAAACTAGGTGGATCAAAACTGGTCAGAAATATCTGAATTACTTAGTTAGATGTAAATCCAATATTTAAATTTCTAATAGAGAAACATTAAGTGAAGATCCCAAATTTCCAGAAAGACAACTAGCCTCTTATTTATGCGCCAAGATTCAATACCATCTGGATAACTTCGACGAATCTCTCAATTATGCTTTGTAGAGTGGACAATATTGGTAATCAGATTTGAATGATAAGTTTAATCAATGTTTAATAAAACATTGTATTGAGTAATATCGTTAATCAGGAAAGGCATCTGAAGAAAGAATAAGACTAATTAAACACATTTTGTAATTGTCTTGTGGATAAAATAATCACATATCCGCCATAGGAGTAGCAGTTGAATGCAAGAGGATTGATTGGGTATCTGAAATTCTGGATAAATGGGATTACCCAGGTAAAATGATATCCGTTCTTCATCTCTTCAATACTTAGAGAGGTGAATTCAAAGAATAATTGTTAAGACTTTCAGTCGATCTAATATATAAGGAGGCAAAACAAGGTCAAATTCCAAATGAAGAATGGGGTCAATTCGTCACTGTCTTAATTCAATTGGGAGAGGCCATCAAAGTGGCTGAAATCCTTTGGACCTTAGTAACAAATGAAAACCATTACAAATTACAGACTGGTACTCCATTGCTCTTGGCTGAACAACTATGCATAGATTTGGCATAAAATTAAAAACCCCAATTTATCCAAAAGATTATTGCCGCATTGCCTATAGATCAATAATTCCAAGAAGTCAGAGATAAATTAATTAAATTGTTATCAGGAGAATAACAAAGAAAAGCTTATTTGTATTTTTTGAAGAATCACAGACAAGTCGATGTTGAAATCTTAAATAAAATCAAAGGTGCAAATGATCCAAAATAATCCAGTGTCTTACACGGTGCATGCATGTTTGGCCATGCATTAGCCACAGCAGGCACATAAGATACAACTTTCTTATAGGCTAATTAACAATGGGCAACCAAATGTAATTATTGGTAGAGATTCACTGCTACATCTACTTTGGGAATGATTCACAAATACAATATAGAAGAATCCTAATAAATTATGGCAACTCATTTGGCTTAGACCAATCCATTTGAAATTGGTGGAGCTCTATATGGATTAGGACTTATTCATTTTGGAACTTAAGACCAGTAACTATTACTCAAATTTTCAGATCACATGAAATCCCAAAAAGAATAAATAATCCATGGAGCTTGCTTAGGTTCAGGATTGGTGGCATTTGCTTCTGAAGATGAAAAATTAAATTAAGATTACCATAATCTGGTTTCCAAAAATGAATCAGTCTATGGAGAAGGTGCCAGCATTGGTTATGGTCTATTGAATGCTGGATCTGGATCAATTGAATAATGTAAACGCCTCTTGGTATTGGCTAGTCAATCAGATAAAGACAAGATAGTTAGAACCTTGTCATTATCAATCGCTTGTATACTCTTCCATTAAGAGGATAAGGCTGATGTGATTATCGATCAAATGTTATAATCAAATGATCCATTAATTAGATATGGTGGTTGTTTCACCTTAGCTTTTGCATATGTTGGCACAGGAAGCAATAAGATTATTTAAAAATTATTGTCAATCTCAGTAAACGATGTTTCTGAAGATGTCAGAAGGGCTGCTGTAATCTCCTTTGGTTTCTTGATGTTTAAGAATTACGAAGCATTGCCAAAAATTATGAGATTATTGACATTGTCTTATAATCCTCATATCAGATACGGAACTGCAATTGCTTTAGGTATAGCCTGTGCTGGAACTCTGTATGCAGATGCCATTTCTGCAATTGAACCAATGTTAACAGATACCGTTGACTTTGTTAGACAAGGTGCATTGATAGCTTTGGGAATGATTCTATCTTAAGGAAACAAAGATTAGGAACCTAAATTTGAGCCAGTTATGAAGTCAATAAATGAAATTGCTGCAAAAAAACATGAAACTGTTCTAACAAAGTTGGGATTAGCCATCTTCTAAGGATTACTAGATTGTGGAGGTAGAAATTTGACAGTCTCATTGTAAAGCAGATAAGGAGTGCCAAAATTAAATGCATGTGTTGGTATGTTATGGTTCTTAAACTATTGGTACTGGTACCCTTGTTTAAGTATGATATCTATAGCTCTATAACCAGTTGCATTTATTGGTTTAAACGAAAAGTATATTAAATACATTATAATATTTTAGCCTTGATATTCCAAGAGACTTTCAATTATAATGTAATACCAAATAATCAGTTTTCGATTATCCTCCTCCATAGAAAAAATCAGAAAAACCAATTGCTGAAAAGAAGACTGTGCAATTAAGTACAACTCAGAAAGTGAGAGCCAGAACTAATAAGAAAGATTTAGAAAAGAGGCAAATTGATTCAGCATCTTAAGGCGTCATTTCAAGAGAATAATCAAAAATGAGTTTAGAGTAGTAACCAAGCGAAATCATCAGATAGCCAAGTCTTATTGAGGAATAGGATAAGAAATAGGCTGCACCAAAAGATGAGCCAAATCAATATATTATATCAAATCCATGCAGAATTTTAGATAAATAAAAAAAACACATCTAATTGTTAGAAGGAAGTCGTTATTAGCCACTTCTCAAAGTATTAAATTGATATTATCATAATTAGGATCGTAAGTAAGGTGTGGTTATGTTAATTGATAGTGAACCTACATAACCTGCTGATGTGATATCTCTCACAATCAAGCCAAAATAGCCTATAATTGAACAAGTTGTAAATTAATAACCTGCTCCACCTAATTAAGTGCCAGAAGAATTTGTGTTCGATGAAGCTCTTTAGAATGAAGAACAAAAGCCATGAGAAGAACATAATATAAATATATAAATAAATAAATAAAATGAAACATATTGATCAACTTAAAGAATATTATGGATAACAACAATTGATATTTGAGAAAGATCTAGATTAAATGAGAAATCATCTTTCAAGAGTCGACAATGCCAGATTAAAGGCAGAAAAGGAGCTATTGTATTTACAATCTAAAGCCAAAGAGCAAAAGGTTTGGGACATCGTGGATCAAACTCCCTTTTTGCCGGTAGTAGAAGGAGATAGAATATTTAAAACTACCAAGTTTGTTAACTCCAATTTAACAGAAGCTGAAAAAAGATAATTATTGTTACAAGAATATTATAGAAACGACAAAGCTCGAAATGCTATGAGATAATTATATAATACTAATAATCAATATGAGGAGGATTAAGCAGTACCTGAATTATATACTGAAACTTAATTAATCTTGCCTAAAATTCATGCTTAAACTACTCAGGTTTTTGATGAGTCCCTACTTCGAGATTTATAATCTATGAAAAATAGAGAAGATGAAATTACCAAAAGATTATAAGCTAACGAAATTACTTAAATTAAAAATCCCTCTGATTATTAAAGAATGCTTGAAAACCAAACTATATTACCTATCTTGTAGAGTATGAAGAATGAAGGCTAGAGATCAATTGTTACTCCAATGGAAAATCATTAGTAAGTAGAATCAGCTTAGAAAAAACTAAGATCAGAAGGTGATTCTGCCTAAATTACATTTGTTAATGAGTATGAACCCTAAAACCAACAAATGCAAAATACATAGTAGCAATTTGAACTTGATTTTACTGGAGAGCATTAAAGAACTGAAGAACTCTTATTAAATGAATCAGAAATACCAAAGGCATAGGATCAAATGTTTGAATATGAAGAATAATAATCATTTTAAGAACCATAAGATCCCATTGATGAAAAAATCGATGAATTATTAACCAACATTCAATAAATTGTTACTCAATAATATTAACCTCATCAATCCATATAAAAAACTAATAATGCTTTATAAACTACTTGGAAATTGGCAATTGAAAAAGATTAAATAGCACCCAAATCAAGGCCAAAGGATTTCAAACCTGTTAATTTTCTAAAAAAACCTATTGTACAATAGGAACCAATACTTTACAAGCCCTTAGTACAAACTCAATAGATTCAAAAACCTTTACCAGATGACAATTTTGAGAGATTAGATAGACTAATTTAACACTTAGAAATATGAATTTATAAAATGATATAAGACTTCCTTCTTAAACAGAATGATTCATAAATTTATAATCATTTATTTGTTTTTGGTTTGAATAATAAGGATTACCCACTAGGTTTCTTAACTTGAGGTAATCTATCTATCAATTTTTAGATATCTTTGCAATTATTCAGCTCCTCCTCATTTTTTGGTTATTGTAACGTATTTTTAAATAATGATCTCTTCCTATTTAATAAGGGATCCTCTTAAGTCAATTCCTTTTTATCAATTATTCTGATATTTGATTTTTACAGCTTCTCTTCTTAGAAATTCAGTTATTATTTAAGTTTGTCATATTCAATTGATAATTGCTTCTTTTCTTATTGTGCTCTATAAAAATTGAGCTTGTGAAAATCACGTTATTATTTTAGTTTTTATAGCGTTGTTGATGCTTTTTCAGCCATCAAATTAGACCTTTCAAGTTCTCCCTTTAAAAATAAAAGTTCGTCCTTCAATTTCTCGAACTATACATAAATATCTGGAATTGAACAGATGCTATTTATGTGGAACATAGCTGACTTTGTTAATTCTGTCCATTCTTCCTTTTATTTTCAATAATTTTACTTAAAATATTTCGAGGCTTCGATGTAATTAATATTTAATAAAGAAATTGCAAATAAATTAATCTAAACTCTCTCCTTTTTTGATTTTACTTTGATCTTACAGAGGGATCTATTATTTAAATTCGATTTCTAAGATTAAATATTTTATACTTTGTATATCTGCGATAATTTTATCTAAATCATCTAAGTTGTCATCATTATTGATAATTTCATTCAATTCATCAAGTTATTCTAGTTTTATTGATTCCATTGAATTGCTATCTGAATCAGAAATCTCCTGTTGACTCATATTTTAATTTTATATATTGAATTAATATTAAAATATAATGGAATATTTCTATTCAAAAATAATTGTACCAAATGATGATAATCACAGATATTAAAATTAAACCAACCATAGAGTAAGTAAGTATTTTTCGATAAATGGCACGATTCTTCATACGATTTATCAAGGATTCTGATGTTCCGACATCATGAGTTGCCTCAGTTGTTTTTTTTATCATGCCATCAAGTTTATTAGTTTAATTCTATAACTAAAATTAAATGTGTGTTGCATGTCCTTCAGCTTCATAGGCGATTTTAGTATATTCAATAAGTTATTCATTTTATTTAATTGCCATAGCCAGTGTAGGAGAAGTGTGTTGAACATATTAGGTATACTACTATTTCAGTTATTGAAATTCACTCTTGTACTATGTGAGTTTAGTGAATTGGGGGCCACTACGATTACCAATGGACAATTGCATTCCATCTAATGATCTTTTCAAATTATTGAACTCTTCAATAGCTTCTCGATAATCCTATTGTGTAGCAGTTGGTGCTTGATGAAATTTGGACATTAGAGCTTTTGAATATTTCTGAAATTCTTCTTCGTAGAGATTAAATTCTTCATTCATTTTAATTTATTTTACTACTTTAGTACATTTTGAAATATTATAATACTCAAAGAAAAATGATTATATTTAAATTGAATTACATATGAACAACGATAACATTAAATTATAAATCATTCTGTTTCCATTTTATTATTATTATTTTCTGCCTCATTTTCTTATGGTTATTTTTAAGGTTGAGGCTCTTCAGCCTTCTTCTCCTCTTTTGGTGGTTCAGGTTTAGGTTTGTTTACAACTGGTTAACATTTCTACATTGTTAATTTAAGATATGTACATCTCTGAATTCATTATATTTGGCTTAGATCTGTTACACTGAAGTTGTGAATCTGACTGTTTTATCTGCTTTGCTTAAGGCATCCAAAACTTAATTGCACCATAATTTGAAAGCACTCACTTCATTTGCAACTACCTGTCTTTCCTCAGGTGTGATATGAGCATATTATTATTCCTATAATATTTAATAAGTATGCTTACTTAGGAAGTAACAAATCCTTCATAATTGGAAGTGTATTGTAATACTTATTGAATAGTCTCAGGGACTAATCTAAACTCATCAGCAATTGTGACTATTGGGCCACACAATTAGACAAGTTTGTCGTATCTATCGGAATACTCCCTCTTAGTAGTCTTTTGACCATCACCATAGAGCCATTCATATTGGACATCTAATTCCTTAAGAATTTGGGTTTTGAGATCAGGTCTAACATGTTAGGCATATTTGCTATTGACATTCTCTCTCCAAGCATAAATGTAGGCTTCCAATTGATTCTTCTTGAAATGGGTTTCATGAACCAATTTGTCTTAGTTTTACATTTCACACTCTTGTTGGAATAACTGATCAATGTCCTTTTTAGAGAGACTATTCAAGGAGGTTGTTTCACAATTGATCTAAGTTTAAATAGTCTTCTTCTTTTATTTGATTTCAAATTGTGGTTCTTCTGGTTTTGGTTATTCTTATTATGCTGCCTCTGGAGCTGGTTATTATGGTTCAGGAGCTTATGGTTATTATTGTTGGGCATCAGCGGCTGGTTTAGGTTGTTCAGCTGGTTTAGGGGGTTCAGCTGGTTTTGGTTTTTCAATCTAATGAATTAATTAAATATTTAAATACAGGCACTTTAACTTCTTCCATGAATTCTTCTTGCAATACAATTTCTTCTAATTGCAATAATCCATTGTGATTCAATAAGATCTTGATCTTTGTTGAATGCTCCTGGTGTTTTGGGTTTTGTGGAGGCACACGAATTTATGCTAAAATTATTATGATAAATATTACATAAAACAGCTTAGAAGCCTTCAGGAACAGGATCGTAGAAGAGTGTAATTTCAATTGGTTCAGTTTTCAAGAGTGCAAAACTCTTGATGGAAGGAATTGGATTATTTTAATCAAATAAGACCTTGCATTGTTTTTCAGGGAAACACCTAACCAATCCTTGGCTTTTATCTTATTAGCTTAATTATTGTCCATAGAGCCAACCTACTCTAATTGGATAGTAATTGCAATCTTCAATCTTGTATTCAGTGACCTTGAAATTTGGACTCTTCATTGCAGCCATCATAGCACATCCTCTTGAAATTGATTCACTGGCATTCAAAGTCCTGGATACTTATTCGATTTTGAATATCTTTTCAATTAATCTTTAGACTGCTGGAATTCTGGTTGCTCCTCCCACAATTTCTACTGAGTGTAATTGCAATTTCAAATTCTAAACTTAATTGAATAAAAATTCTAATTGTTATTGAATCTAAATCAACACAGGCTAGATCATTTATTCAAAATCTTCTCTCTTGATTAAGGCGTTGAAGTCTTCATCTTCCACCAAATACTCGACATTAATTGGAGCCTCTGAATTTGCAGACAAGACCTTTCTAGCTTTTTCAATTGATTCCAATAGTCTTAATTTTCCTTTAAGGTTTTTTCTTACATTCAGACCACCTGATTATTTTTCAAATTGAGTGGCAAATTTTTCAAATAAAACCCAATCAATATCTCTAGCACCTAAGTTTCTCTCATTCACTTAAGCAACGACTGAAGCCTTTTCCTTATAGAATGAACCCACAAATGCGGAAAATTTGGAATGTCCAAAATCAACGAATGCCACATGTCTTGGTTTATCAGCATCCAAATCTGCTTTTCTAAATAGACCATAATTAATAGCAATTGCTGTAGTCTCATTTAGCAATCTCTCCAAGGGAATGTCAGCTATCTTGCAAGCATCAATCAAGGCCTTTCTCTCTGATTCTGTGTAATAAGCAGGCACACTGATACAAAAATTACTTGCTTGAGTATTTATGTCATTGTGAGCCACAACGTGCTTTAATTTGTTCAACATAGAACCTGTCAATTGTTCAGGAGTGAATGTGCTCTTCTAACCAAGGTAATTGACCTCAAATAAAGTCTTTCCAGAATCATTAATTGATGTAGGAACAGTCAACCATTTTGTCTCTTCTGCTCTGAATGCAGGTTCACCATGTAATCCCAAGAATCTGTTGAAAAAAGCAACAGAATTTTTGAAATTGGACTTTTGTTATAAGGCTCCTTGTTCTCCAATGAATCTTTCTTCGACTGTGAATCCAACCACATTTTATGTTTCTCTATGTGATCCTTCATTGTCTAGAACCTTCACACCACCCTTTAGGGCTGCGGCGATTACAGATCTCTAACTACCAAAGTCAATACCAATTGAAGCAAGTTAAGACATTAATTAGTTTAAATTTTTCGAGAATCAGCCACTTATAAAACATCCATAAAGTGCTAGAATATTCTATAATTATTAATAAAATAACGTATTTATCTGATCAACCCCTTACCAAAGTTTAAGATAATGTGTTCTATTTGCCATATCGTTACATAAATTATCTAAATTTAAGATCATATCCAAGAGTTGAGCCAAAAGATGAAAAGAAAAATTAAAAATATTATTTTTATCCATTATTGGTCTAAATGTCATTGAACAATTTCTAAAAATGGTCATTTCTGTCACCATCCTCTCTGCATTCACAACAAAATTGTAGAATTATTTAACATATATTAAATATAGATAGTTTTAATAGTAACTAAACTCAATTCATTTTTTCGGTTTTAAAATGCTTTTCTTTAATGGAGGAGGTTAATGTTTAGGTAAAGATATCTTACCAGCTGATGTTTTTTGAGGCGCGTATATCTTCCCAACAGAAACACTTTTTTACCTAATGTTGCTTGTGGTGTTTTCTTTGTTTTTATACTACAAGGCCTTACTAAATCTAGACTCCATCTCATTAAATTTGTTCTCCATCATTTTAAAGGAGTTTAATACCATTTCGCTGAATTCTAAGTGTGATCCATCAAATGATTACCCAGATATCGGTCTTGCTGCGATTTCTCTTACAATGTGTTTGCTTTCACCTCCATCTACTACACTTCACTGGCCAAATCATCTTATTTCCCTAAATCAAAATCATCATCAAACATGTTAACTGAAAATATAAAATATTTATTAAAATAATATCAACTACAAAGTGAAATAATCTTACTTAAACCTTCTTCAAAATTGGCAAACAATTCAATATAGGTCCCATCCCTCGCTTCATCCGTCAGCCGATAGAAAGTGTTCCTTTGATTCATAAACTTCTTTTCTTAAGTACTACACAATATGAAATGCCAAAATCCATCCCTCAACTTCTCCAACAATTCAACTAACTTGTCATTTTATTCCGCATAATTTTCCCCAAAAGTCATTACAATTAAATAGTTAGTGTACTTTCTAGGAAGATCTTGATTCAAAGATTCCGAAATTCCTTAATACAATTTTCGTTAATTTTATGTCTATCTCCCGCTTAAATAATCAAAAAATCCATCTTCCATATAATTTTTACCCATAGTTTCTAGTATACTAATTTTCGATTAAGATTCAATTAATACATGAGTATATTCATCAAAAGTTGATACTTATATCAAATCATCATCATTCATATTTTAAAATATCTAATTATAAAAATAACTAATACTTATTTAATAGTTTCTACAACTTCGAGTTAGTTCTCGGCCATTCGTTGTGTTGAATCAATTAGAAATACAAACTGTCTTTTTTAATTCTGAAAGAAATATTGAAGTTATTTTAAAGTTTAACTATCAGATCTAAATTTATCCTATTTTGCAAGCAACGATGATAGCATCTTAATTGTTTTGACTCTTAATTTTGCTTAATAAACATTTCCGTAATCTAGAGCTAGCATTAATTATTAGATAGCAGGTTGTAATTAACCACTAGACATATAAATTAATCCTCGATAAAAATAGATTTTCTACTGAACAACTTACAATAGCTTTTTGTCTTAATTAAATGTTTTATTTTAGTATGAAGCATTTTTACTTAAAGTATAGTTTTGTTACAAAATCAACTAAGCTTAATCAATGCATTATTCAGCTTCTTTTATTTTTCTAAGATTGAAGAGTAGTTTGCATTTTTTAAAGAATAACTTAATTTGTAAAGTGAACTTAATCTCCAAAGTGTCTGCAAAATCCATGATGTTTGAAAATAGTGTTTTTGCTTAATTAAAGGCATTTCTATCTCGACTCTTATTTCTTATTAATAATTTTGATAGTAGATCCAATAATTGATTTAGAGATTGAAACAATTTGTAATTTATTCTCATGATTTCCTCTGATTTAATTAGCTGAATGTCTTTCTTTTATTATTCAAGGATAGAAATGAGTTGTTTATTGTATGTGATTGCAGTCTCATAGTCCTTCTATCTACTGAGTTCTGTTACCAATTTCATCAAAATTAGTTCCAAACATTCAATTGAGTTTCGTTTCTCAAAAATGTGCAATCCTTGTTCTAACTTCTACAAATCATGAACCTTTTTATTTAATTAATTTAAGAATTCAATCAACCAGCAAAACTCATCAAAAATTTAAAGCAATTCATTCAATTCAGTCAAATTACTTTTTTGGCTTTCTTTGAATGCATTTAAGTCTTTATGTAAAGTATCGTAATCTAATTCAAAAAACATTTACATCATCAGAGACACTTAATTCAATGTTATACTGATTTGATCAAATTCATTTTGAGTTATTAAATTGACTAAAATTGGAGTCAACAACAAAAATAGAATAAAAAATTAAAAAAACAGAAAGAAATCAAAATAATCTTCCTATTTAGTTTCTACTAGATTTGTGTATAATTAATCATTGAAGGTGGCAAGCAACTGCCATCTATTAAAATTTTATTGGAGAGCAATTAGTTTATCTTATTCCTCTTTGGTTTGATTTAATAGGTCCTCCTTATATTCTGAAGAGAACTCATCATTCTAACACATATCTATATATAATTACTATGTCATAAGTCCCAATTTTAATTGATTAATAAAAGTAGACCTTCATGTCAACCATTGACAAACTTATGATTGGATTGGATGACTCATAATAACGAGTTAAAGTATGAATTTGATTTACCCAATACGTTTTTTCTATGCTCTCTAAAAACTCAACAATGTCTTAATTATTCTAATCATTTAAATCCATATTACTTAATTCAGTAACCGGACTACATTTCATTTCAGCAGTAAGACAGTCATCGCTTACATCAGAAATTACTGAATTATTTATAGTAAACAAGGCCGTGTATAAAATCCCTTCCTAATATTTATACTCTGCTAAATCCAAAATAAAACACTAATATAATGAATCGCCAACTAACTATCCACAGATTTATGTCAATTCGATATTGAATGGAAATAAACTATAAAATACAGCTTAATCTTTCTTTTAGCTTTTCATATATTAAAAAAGGTTGAAACTGCCCTTTGAATTTTCAGAGATTCCCAATAGTTAACAGAATTTTGGATTATTTGTGCAGTTAGGAGTTGATTGAAAATCATACTAATCTAAAGTTGTGTTCTAAGTGCATAAACTTTCTGAAGACAGCTATACCACGAAGTAAGGGAGGTTTGGAATATATATTGAAGTTATTTCTTCAATCTATGCGATTTAAGAGGTTTCTGAAGCTGTAAAAGCACCAATAACAGTTTATAAAGTAGAATTTTATTAGGAAATCTCCTGTTGATTAATTGTCAACTTGGAAATATTGAATAAAAATCCAATTGAGGAAATTGTTTGTTGCAAATCAATACCTGTCAATGTAATATTGGCCTTCATTATTTCAATAATAGTTTCATTATTACTTGATATCTGAGCTAAGGATGAATTAAGTATACATACAATTAATCCAATACATCACAAGAATAAATAACACGCTTAGACTTATTGTGGTTTCAATCAAATCAGCTAAGAATAGAGTTTATGTGACAATTAGTTTAAAGTGATGTTAAATGTTCGTCATTTTAATAAAAATGTTATAATATATGGTTTTGTTTATTAGTAATGAATAATCAAATAATATACAAATATGAGTTTAAAAAGATGTTAAATCTTTTGTATCATAATTATCTCTCTAATAAAATAATATTCTTGTATATCATTTTGTGAAATTGTCAATCCTAAAATTATTATTAATTCATTAAATTGCAAGGCTTTATGAAATATTGAAATCAAAAAGATGTGTAATTTATCCCATGAAAATTTAAATTTCTTTGGCTAAATTTGATTGGCTGGTAAGCTATTACAAGAAAATTCATTAAAATTAGCAGAATAGAATTAATGTCTATTATCAATATTGCTTTTTGAGTATTAAATGAGCAAATATTACTTAATACAGCATTCTTCAATGACATGATTTAAAATTATAATATTCTTGAGATTAGATTGTTATTAAAAATGGTTGCAAAGAATAATGCAAATTTAATTATAATATAATTTTCAGAAATCAGATATTTTTTTATTCCAATATCTTATTGATTATGTTAATGGAGTATAAATATTTAGTTATCATTAATACATATGTATATCAATCATCATTCTTGTACTTCGTCCATGAATATAAAGTCATAATTCTCGATATTGTAGTATGCCAAATCTTTATTATCTTTTAATAACCTTCCACGGTAATATAAATTTATAAAATATGGTGATATTAGAGATTAAGATTCACAGATCTTATTTTTAAGTTCATAAACCTTATTATTTGGAGTAATAGTGATGAGAATATCTTCCAAAATATCTTATCTATCAATTACTACAATTTCATATGGTTATTTTAAGTTATTAAATAAATATAATTTACTGTCTTCTTCAATTTTGTAATTAATTATTCTCATTTCATTTTCTAATACTTATCCTTTATAAAACAAGTGTTGTTTAAAAACGGGATATTCTAATTTTGATTAAATTTCATTCTTGATATCTCTTATAGTTTCATATTATTCTTTTTTGATTTCCAACGTAATATTTTAGATATTAATTGAAAACTTTATGTATTTTTTTTCAACGAGTTCTAAATTTGAAAAATCACCAATTTTATAAAACCATAGCTCTTTCTCATCTTTTAAGATCTAATCCATGTACAATAAGTGAAAGTCTCCTAAATCAGGATATTTAGATTGCAATTTCTTCTTAAATTCCTTAATCGACATTTGTGATTCTAAGTTTCTCATAAATAGTCTATCTGTTGATGCTTGATTGATATAAACAATGTTTTACAACTTCAATAGAATAATAGAATGCTTTTGAATATTATAATAATGTAATGTAAAATCTTCTTTTAATTGTTTACCCTTGAAAAACAGTAGCTATGAATGAAATGGATATTCATATTGTTGTAATAATTTTAATTTTATGTCATTAACACAATCATTTAGATTTATGTCAATAAAATGTCTTTGGTTATTGTATACTACAATAATACTATTGCTAGAACATATTTTCAGATGCAAAGTTGAATTTTTCTTTATTGTCTTACTATTAATTTTATCTAATATTTTAGGACCCAAATATAATTTCTACCTCTAAGGGGGTATGCCTTCTTTTTGTTAAATTTAGTCTGTTATCTATTCTAAATAATCAAAATTATTGTTAACACCCAAAGAGAGAACTCTGCCATTCGGTGTTTATACAAAAACTTAGATTGAACTATCTTCATCACAACTAGGATTGGCATTATGAAACATGCTTCCTTAATGTGAAAATGTCATTTCCTCTTTTTGAGGATCTTCCTTTTCATAAAGATTCGCTTGATGTTCACTTTAAGTTAAATTGTGATCATCCATTGTTTCTTTTGCAAATTAATCATTCTTCTATTTAGAGTGCATCTGAAATACATTAATAGAATTATAGTCTGCAGATAATTACATGAATTTGTACAATTTTAATATTTATTAATAAATCTCATCATAATCCTATGTCATCCTTAAAGTTCCAGATATTCAATAGATATAAAATTCTGACTAATAGAAAATCTCTGGCCATTTAGATTGAGGCTTCTACTACATTTAGATGGGATCCTTCGACATCTTCCCATTTCACAGGCAACTCTGAGACTGGCACTTTGTATTTTTATGCAATCATAAATAACTCTACATCAAATGCCCATCTCTCCAAATGTAGTACTCTAAACAATATTGCTGAAGTGTTCTTTGTAAACAATTTAAACCCACATTGAGTGTCCTTCAATCTAACACCACATATGGTATTAATGATGAAATTAGAACAGTGCATTAAGAAATTTCTATACCATTTTCTTTGGACTACTACATCCTTCACTAGATGATTTCTTGAACCTGCCACCAATCCTAATCCATTTTATGTAATTTTTAATAACTAAAATCTTTTATTATTTATGTACCTCTTTTGACAATTTCTCATATTCATTCAAATCTGTAGCTAGATCTGCATCCATCATTAACTAAATTTCACCTGCAGCTGCTAACATTCCCAATCTTACTGCTCCTCCTTTTCCTCTATTTCTATTGTAGGTAATTATCTTAAAGTTTTTATTATTCATTGAATACTTCTTGGCTACTTCTAATGTCTTATCTTTTGAGGCATCATTGATGATTATTATTTCGTATTTATAATTATTAAAGTGCTAATCAATTGTGAATCATATATACTTTGAATGTTGCTTCTAATGTTCTCCCCAATCTATTTTCCTCATTGTAAGATGGAATAACTATGCTTAATTACACTTCAGATGTATTTTTATATGAGGAATACTTGTATTCTTTTCCATCGCAAATTACCACTATGCTATCATCCTTTTTCACTGTTTTTTGTTGATTTTTCCAATTAGTATAAGGAGTGAACAGCCACTTTATTCCAATTAACAACCCAACAAAAATAAGCAATAGAAATATTTCTAATAACATTATTTATTTATTGTATTGTTGAAAATAAAATGTTAATTATCAATTTCCATATAAAATTACGTGTCTACCTATCACAAATTTATTAGGATTTGAACACCCTTCCTAAAAGTCATAAAATAACCAACAGCCCAATAAAAAACAACAGAATAGGAGAGATGTACAAAATATCTATATCATTTAAATGTTATGGAGAAATGTTGAATATTCAGCATTTATAAAATAGATCATCTTTGCAAATGACCAGTTTATCTTCAATGAGTTTATTTAGGTGAGCCTAAACGACAATCTTGACAATTTCCAGCATGTAAGCATCCTTATCATCTGGATACACAATTTATTTGATTTCCTCAATTGACTATCCATTAATCGCTTAGTAAATTTGTTATTCTCTATTCTTTCGGTGTTGAATTTATTTCTAGATTGCTTCTTAAGCTCCCTCAATTATAGTTTATCCATGACCTGGATAGATTGTCTTTCTTAGAGATTAGGGATAAGAAATACATATTCATGTTTGATATTTTTTCCATACTTTACAAATACTATCTCACATTTTCTATGTAAGAAGAAGAGCCTCCCAATAGGCAATCTCCTGAAAACCATTCTTAGTTAGAAGTCATGAAACCAAAATGATCAACACAATGTCCTGGTTATGAAATGGCTGTGATTGTGCAATTTTCAACTTAGAAAATTTAACCATCCTAAAGTGGGATAAATGGATAGAGCTTATCATTTTGCAAATTGTGATCTAAATTTTTATAGACTTAAGCATTTGGAAATAATTCAAGCACCTAAGAGATTCCACCGATGTGATCATGATGATGGTGAGTTATAAGAACAATTGTTATTTCGCATTATTCATTATCAACAATTTGTTTTAAATGCATTTTGTATTGTTCTTTGCCTTCACCTGTGTCTATAAGGATTCTTGCCTTGCCAGTTCCCATTAAGTAGGTGTTGGTTCCTTTTAAAGTGAATTACCCTGGATTATAACCTGGAATTAATATCATAAATAAAAATAATGATAGACACTATAATTGGAGGTGATTTTAGTGAATTCGTGGCCAATCGCCAATATGCGAAGATCCAATATTTGTAAGAGGAGAACAAATAATTGCAAGAGTAATTGAAGGACATGGATAAGGCATTAAAATTGAATAAAGAAGTCCTTCGCATGTCGCTTGAGCAAAAGTACAAATACACAAATAACAAACAAGCCTAAACAATTCCAATAACTCAACCAATAGTAGTGAATAGAATTAAACTATTCAATTGCAAATGAAATTGCATGAGGAAAATGAACTAATCAGAAAATAAATGGTTAAATTGACAGAGGAGAGAAATGTTGCTTAAAATAAAGTAACTAACTCAATTATTAATGAAAGGTTTTGTTGTAATCGCAAATATCAGAAGAAAATTAAGCGTTTTTGAAGGATTTAATTGTTGAGTTGGAAGAAAAAATAGGGGAATTGCGAAGATGCATCCAAGATAAAGAATTCACGATTTAAGACGTGGAGAAAAACAGAGGTGTAATTGACAATGGATAAATGGTAAAGATCAGGGAGATTGTAACGCCACACGAATAAACCTTAAGATTGACAGAGGAATTAGAATCTACCAGATAGCTCTTAAATAAGGTATCTCAAGGATCCCAGAAATTACAAGAAGAGAACAGAATGCTTAAAGACCAAAACTAAGTAAGTTTAAATATATTTTACTATTAGCATTTCCTAAGGGAGTAAATAAAATATCATCTTATCTTAAGAAGTCCCTTAGCATATTATAAGATGAAAAGTAAGAAAATTTCCACAATAATAAGGCTACATTTATAATGATGATTTAGGTCATTCAGTTGATAATTTAGAAATTCATAATGAAAACTATTCGAATTAAGTCTTTAATATAGGTCAAAACGAACCTACCCCACAACAAGATGGGTAATACTAATCATAGTAACAAAATAATATGAAATATTTGACTAATAATGAGAGGTACTTAAATAGAATTAACAATTTTAGGGCAATTTATTAAGAGAAATTATAAAAAACTGAGGCTTTATTGAAAGGATACAAGGAGTTATTTGAAAAGGAAAAGAATAAGGTAGGATTATTAGTTTAAATAAAAGATGATTTGGAAAGAAAGGTCAATGAATGTTATAGTTAAAATGAATTGATACTCAAGGCACTCAACAATAAAGATCAAAGAATAGAATAATTATAGACTGAAAACCAATATTATAAGACCTAATTTGGAAATTACATTTACTTACTCAAAAATAAGCGAAAGGTTAATTTAGATTTATCATTGTAATTGAAAGAACCAACAAACAATGTGCAACCATCTCCACCCCCAATATCAAATAATAAAATAATAACTGATTTTGAAAAGGATCCTGATTATGCTGAAAGGCATATCAGTATCTTAGATCCTGATGATCCTTCCCCTGACAATAGAAAAATTCATGACTTAGATGGCTAGATGAAACAATAAAACAAGATGAGCAACATATTTGAACCTAATTACTCTGAAATGAATTAATAAGAATGCAAATAGTTTTTGTAGAATACTGCCATCGAACTTTTTAAGCAGTATAATTTGAAGATGAATAATTTGAAGAAAAAGTAATTAATGCATCCATCAATGTCTCTGAAGACTAAGCCTATATGGCATGCAAAGTCGTTTAGTGACCCTCTAGATTACTTTACCTTACAATATTACAACCTTTAAGTCTCGGGTCAATATGAAATAAATCAAAGATGTAATCTGCCAAACTTTCAAACGATGAAACAAGGTAAGGGACATGAAAAGCCAAAAGAAGTGTGGGACATTGATTTTAATGAACTTTCTATTATTTAAGGAGATAAAAGTCAATTTTTTCAATGAGGTAGATTAATCAAAGTAATTGATATGTGATAAATAATTATTATTAAATATCATTAAAGATGGTGATTACTAAATAAGTCTTCTTCATCAATTTCATGTTCATCATCTACAAATGACTATTCGACAAAATATTAAAATTTAAACTATTATTTACTTATCCAAGGATGTTTCAGCATTTATGAAGCTGTAGCTCTTTTATAAGGTATTACATTCAACATAGGTAATAAAAAATCTGCAAATTGATTTGCTTCTACTTTATTTATCTAGTATCTCTTTATTTTCAATATTCTTACTTCTAAACTAAGATTTATTCCAAAGTATAGTATTCACTCACCTTGAAGTGTCTCAACACTCCATTATGTGAAAAGTACTTTTTGCAATGTTTTCCAACACAAGTAAATTCAATAGGGTAGGAACCTAAAACTTATTAGATATAAGCTAAATGAGTTAATTCATCATCATTTTCAATTTCAAATAAACTGTCTCCAGTGATCAATTCAAATGCAATACAAGCCAAACTCCAAATATCAGCAGAAGTCGTATAGAATTGTCCCATGATTACTTCAGGAGCTCTGTATTACAAAGTTTGGATCTTCTCATTTCTGTGATGATTAATCCAACAAGCTTTACTAAAGTCCACAATCTTTACTTAAAATATTCTACATTTATCTAAAGTATTCTACCTTTTGTCCAAGCCCACCATCCATTACAATTTCTACTTTATGCATTATAGTTTTTTCTTCTCTTTCTACCTCTTTCTTTTTTCCTTCTTCTTGTCTGATGAGGATTGCTTTTGATAATGTTTAATATTGTCTTAGAATTGTTGTCGTTAAGTGATCTGTCCCTTATCAACCAACTCTTTGACTTGCTCATTGGTTAAACAAACTCGAATGTTTTCTGGTTTCAAATCAGCATGGATGATGCCACATTCTCGATGCAAAAAGTCCAAAGCTAAGAGAATCTGTTTGATAATGGATTTGCATTGATCAAAATTCAATCCCCTATCTTCTGTAGAATGAGATATTCTTAATAGATTCACACCCAACATTTCAAACACCAAAACATAATGTTGTCCAAACGGACCTTTGTGTAAAAAGACATGCAATAATTAAACTATATTGATAAATTTTGATTTTTTGTGAATAGTCTGAAGTATCTCAATTTCATTTAATGCCTATTTATTTTCTTAATAATACAGCCTCTTGAAATCTAGGAGCACTCCTTTGAAATTTAAGAGCAACAAAGTTATTCGTCTTAAAATCTTTGGCCAACCATATATTCGAAAGGTGACCAAATTCGAGCTTCTGAATTGCAACATATCTCCCATGAAACACTTCTCCAACAAACACAGGATGAAAACAACCAATTGCATAATTCCTACAGTCTTCCACATCCTCATCCTCATCAGAACAATCAGAAAATTGATCCTAGTAATTTAATCTCAATTCTTCTTACATTATTATAATTTATGGTCAGAATTACAAAGGATTAATAAGAAAATTGAATATCAATTATAATTTAATACATTCGAGCCTCACTCATTGAGATAACAACATATAGATAAAATTAATCGCCAAATACAAATTCATCATTAACAATATAATTTTTCAATCGCTGTCTTGGGACTACTATAATTCTAAAACTCTCGCAACTTAAAGGTTTCTTGAATTACCTTCCTACAATCGTAAGCAGGGAGCACATCAGAGAGCAGGAAATCATACAATAACTTTAATTCCTTATCGTCCTTGTTGTCATAATAAGGGATTATTGGAATTCCATTCTCAATATGATACCCAAAACTGTATGCCGCATTATCAATCAACACAACGTCCTTCATGTCTCTCCCCAACACTCTGAGATCTTTAATATGCACCCCATCACTAGTCACAATGCAACTCTCTCGAAACAATTGGGCAGCTAAGATTTTCTTATGATCCAGAAACTAGATCACTTGAGAAGCATAACATTAATGGGAAGCTGTAAAGATTACGACTTCACAGATATCTGACAATTGATTCAAGATCTATTTAGCCCAAGGCCTTATGTTGATTCCTGCCTAAACCGTCTCGCCTGAAGGAAATGTTATCGGCAAATAAACCTCAGATTTCATTTTTTAATCTTCATTACAATGGATGAGAGTTTCGTCAAGATCAAACACCACAGTTTTATGAACTAAATCGTATCAAAAAACTACATTTGCTATTTTTCTACGGTAAATTTACCATTTTCTTTTGTATAATACTTAAAGTAGGTTCTGTTTAATTTAAGCAGAAACCTATGCAATTATAAGTTTAAAAGGCATGGTCTCTATATAACTAACTGAGAGAATCGTAGGCTCCGTTGACAGCTTCTATCATGGAGCTCACATAGTAGGTATTTTCTAAAATAGATTGCGAAGGTACTTCTTGAAAAGGATAGAATTCTATTTTTCGGTGAAAGCGATTTTGCTTATCTAAATGGAGAGATACTATAAATGTTCTTTGAGAGATTTGAAACCTTGAATTGAGTCACAAAGTCATCCAAACTCAGATGAATATTCAGAGGCTGTTTTTGATCAAGATTTTTTTTGCTATTGGTTTAAGGTCTATCAATCGAGGACCCCTTTTCCGTTTTGAGTTTTTGTGCAAGTTTATTCTGATCTAGAGACAATATATTATATTTTCTGTCGGTCTTGGATTTATTCTATAAGCCAAAGGAATTATCCTTTGTGGAACTACTGTTGGCCTTATTATAGCTTTGCTATAAGGTTTTGCTGAGTTGTTGGGATAGTTAAGTCTTGCTCGAATCCTTTGATTTGGCAAAAAAGTAATACTTTTATAGTTACAATTGGCATACCTGTTGTGGATGGACAGATTTGGGGGTGTTAGTTCTAACATTTGTATCGATGAATGGATTCTTCTTAGGTACCTATTTAGAGATGGAGGATTTCTTATTTTTTATAAGGGTGCTCAAACTTTAAGTTTAGTATAATTTATTGAGGGTGCTTTTTTAAATGTCCACTGGAGAAACAGTATGTTATTGGTATTGCTTGGCTAATTTAAGTTTTAAACCAGAATTGTCCAAATGAGATGGCGATGTTTTATTAATATTAGAATACATTAATATCTAATATGTCTGGGAGCGGAATACAAAATATTGTAATTGTTATAATGTATATATTATTTTTTCATTTGGTGGTTTCTGCAGCAACTCTTTTAGCTTCTTCAATGACATCTTCAAATGTTCCTTGCATATAGAATGCATTTTCTGGATATTCATCACCTTCACCATCAAGTAAAGCTAAAATGTTAGAATAATTGGGATACCTCTGAATCCAGCAATGGTGTCGTTGAGTGATACGAATTTACCCTTTCTTCCTGAGAAGACTTCAGACATGAAGAATGGTTATGAAAGGAATCTTTATACTTTTCTGGCTCTGGCGACAGTGAGTTTATCATCTTCAGACAATTCATCCATACCCAAAATGGCAATGATATCTTGAAGTGATTTGTAATCTTACAACAATTTTTAAACTCCTCTTGTGACTGTATAATGTCTAAATTACAATATATGTAGAATATTACTTTTCACCAACAATATTTGGGTCCATCATACGTGATGAAGAATCCAATGGGTCGACAGCTGGATAGATACCCAATTCAGTCAATGCTCTTGATAACACAGTGGTAGCATCCAAGTGAGCAAATGTGGTGGCTGGTGCTGGATCTGTAAGATCATCTGCAGGTACATAAATAGCTTAGACTGATGTAATGGATCCCTTCTTGGTTGTTGTGATACGTTCTTACAATTGACCTAAATCTGTTGCCAATGTTGGTTGATAACCGACAGCTGATGGGATACGTCCCAACAAGGCTGACACTTCTGAGCATGCTTATGTGAATCTGAAAATGTTGTCAATAAAGAGCAACACATCCTTTCCTTCCTCGTCTCTGAAATATTCTGCAACTGTCAAACCAGTCAAACCAACTCTGGCTCTGGCACCGGGGGGCTCATTCATCTATCCGTAAATGAGAGCACATCTTGATCCACCACTCAAATTGATGACACCAGATGCAACCATTTCATGATAAAGATCGTTTCCTTCTCTTGTTCTTTCCCCTACACCTGCAAACACTGAATAACCACCATGAGCTTTAGCCACATTATTAATCAACTCTTAAATAAGCACTGTCTTTCCGACTCCAGCACCTCCAAACAATCCAATCTTTCCTCCTCTTGCATATGGAGCCAATAAATCGACCACCTTGATACCAGTGATCAAAATTTCAGCACCACTACCTTGATCGACAAAACTTGGAGCTTCTCTGTGAATTGGATATCTGATTTTTGTTTCAATTGGACCTCTCTCGTCAATTGGATCACCAATCACATTCATAATACGTCCCAAGGTTTCTGGACCAACTGGAATTGTAATTGGACCTCCCAAATCTGAAACTGGTTAACCACGAATCAATCCTTCAGTGGAATCCATGGCGATTGTTCTAACTCTACTATCACCCAAGTGTTAAGCCACTTCCAAGATCAATTTATGACTTGTTCCTTACACTTACAATGCATTCAAGATTGGAGGAAGAGGTCCATCAAACTGTACGTCAACGACAGCACCAATCACTTAAGCGATTTATCCGGTTGTTGCGGTTGCTGTTTTGCCTGTCTCTGCTTGCTTCTTAGCAGCGGAGAATCCTATTATACTCGTTATCTTTAATATCTACCTAGACGCATCTATTTGGCTAATGCCCTTGTGAGCATTTTATTTATTTAAATAATTTTTAGATATTCTCATAAAGGATATTCAAAATTTAAATAACCAATTTATCAATTAATTACATGATGTCTCACTCGTTTCTTCCACTCAGCCCTCTCCTCCCTTCCTCCAATCCCCATATTTTCCAATAATTTATCTGGTATACTTTTTTCATTTATCACATCCCCCCTCCTCTTACTCCAATTAAATTGTCTCCTTCAATATGCAATATTAAATCTATCCTAAAATAATCGAGATTTAATTCCCCACCCCCACAAACAAAATACATGTAATTATCTTTTTAGATAATAAATATATATTCATTATTCATATCTCATTTCACATCTGATTTCATCTTTTTCAATCCCTCTATCACAATCTATTGGAAACCCTTGAAATTGCCACTGTATTCCTCAAACCCTTTCAAATATTTTGCAAACACTAGACTTTTCCTTAATGACAAATAGATACTTTGAAAATTGGAAAAGCTTGGTCTACTTTGATTACCCAAAATTTAATCCTGGCACCACTTAACCATCTCTTACATCAAGCTAAATTTATTCACAATTCCTACCTCCTATCTTGTGCGAGCTGTAGCAAGTGATTGAAGCACATGTTCTTAGAATTCAACCTGAGCTTTTTGTTCTGCTGCCTCTCTATTTAATTGCGATCACAATTATCTTACCTTAAACATGTAATGGCATCATTATAGGACTTAAGAAACACCTTAGCTTCGTAATAGGGTTACTCTGTGAACATAATTTTTAATAAATTAAATCAAATCAGTCTTAAATTAGGCAATCCTACGAATATGAAATTGTGAGTATAGATTCTCTTTTTATCAAATTAAATCTCCTTCAGATTTGAAATTTCTTACACAGGTTCGACCTTTCCTCCCTTCTTTGTTTCCACCTACTATGGTTTCTTGTCCATTATATTTCCATTCTCATCCTAATACTTTATAATTGGAGCCTAAGAAGGTAATAGGAGTATCATACCTTATATCTTTACAAGCATGCTGCCACATAAATATCCTCTGTCAATTATTTAACCAAATTTTCAAAAGCCTTTAAGAATTCTACAATTTAGGGTGACCATTGAGTTGTTAATATTGTACTCACATCGATCAGAGTCAAAAACACAGAGACTTTGAAATTCTGCTCAAGAATGTGAGTCTTCTCGCCATCAGGGTCCAAAGATGAGAACTTCTCAATCAAACTTTTTTTCGCATTCATCTTATCAAATATTACCCAAAATTTAGAGGTGTTAATTTCACTTAGATCCACAATTACTTTAGATGACAAAATGTTCAATACTCCAGGAGATCCATACCAAAAAATAGAAGATCCTGTTTAAGCATACTTTTACAATTCTCCCAAAGATGCCAATCTACTTTATGAAAAAGTCTAAAATTATATAATGTAATAATATTACTCCTTCAAATTTTAGTTAGGGTGTTGTTTTTTAAACCTCACCTAAAGTCTTTTGCAAATTAAATTCATCCAAATTTAAATCCTAATCCTCTGTCTTAAAATCGTAAGTGAGGAACTTCAACTTGTCCTTCTCTATTCCTCTTGAACTATTGTTTAATTACACTTAGAAACCAACACTTTTCAGTCTTCTAACATACACAGCCATACTAAAATCTCTTGACATTGCTACGATCTTTTAAAATACCTTCAATTATTCAATGGGATAATCAAAGAACTTAGGATCAATCAATAAAACCACTGTGTCAATCTTGCCAGGTGCTTATTCTAAGGGAGATTCGTATAATGCCAATTCATCCTTTCCTGGTTTCCCTTTGGTTTGCTTTCCTTAATCTTTCTTGGGAGGAGGTGCCTTAGGATCAATTACTGGTGGAGGTACTTCCTCTTAAGTGTTAATATTCTCATCAATCAATTAGGGCACAAAACTCATAAATTGTTCCACATCTACACAAAATTTGGTGTATTCCTTTTCCATATCCTCCTCCAATTTGATGAAGTCTTACTATTGAATTATCGGGGTCTTAATTAAATTATTCTTAATCTAATCTAAATTGGCTTTCATTGAAGTCATCTAGTCATGAGTTTTAGAATCCAATAGTATCCTTTACACTTTATACACTGGAGTTTTTGTGTTATGCAAATACCCTAAGTACAAACAAGTTTTGTTTTGACTCATCTGCATTATTAGAAACCCAGCACTCTATTACACTTACGCCTACAAATCTGTCAATGGGAAGATCATCAGATTATCCCATAATTTATTAGCCTCAGTTAATAATTTAATGGCATCTTAATTAAGAAATCCGCAGGCAGTATTGATCATCTTGATTAACCTAATATACACTATCATTTTATGCTTTCCGAAGAATGATTGTCTAACCATGTTAAACATCTATTCGCAAAAAGCAAAATGCTAAAACTTACACAAATAATCATAGGATATCTCAGGACTCTTTCTTCCCAAGATATCTAAGGCAGATTCATAGAGCATTTTCAAATAAAAGTTCATTTACTTGAATCCAAATATACTCCATTCTAACGGAACAGTTGTGTTATCTCCTTTTGCTTTCAATACTGTGAATGCTTTTGATTCAATGTCTTTAATCAATTTTAATACACTTTGTAAGGCATCAGTCTTGTAATCGAATTAATTGTCCTCCTCTTACGACAATTAAACAACTTAATCTTGTCCTTCAACTGGTGTTTCCCATACATCGTCCAATTACTATTTACTTATAGCCAGGTATCGTTTTGCTCTCACCAACTCAATTTCAGCTATTGTGTACCAAAATGTATCTTTTTTCAATTATTTCAAAGTGGATAATAAAATAGCAGTTGCCTTCTCAAAGCTCTCTAATCTCTATGGAAGAGGCTGGATTGCTCGTTATATCTTAATGGTTAATTATGTTAAGAATTTCTAGAGAGGTTCGTAATTGCTTAATTGTTCAATTGGTTTGTCTTCTACTTAATCGTTGTTATTGTCATCGTCAGACCCTTAAAGATCAGGCAATTGCATTTATTTTCGCAACCACTTAATCAACCCCATTTCAATAAAGCAAGAAGCCATTATCACCCTGATCTTTGCTTATAAATCCATGATTGGAGATCTAATCGATTCCGATTCTTTTTCAATTAGGAGCGTATACTTTAATAAGGATCTGCTTTGCTATTCTAAAGGTTTAAGGATTGAGTTCTGCAATCGCTGTATAATTTTGAAATAAATTTCAACCTAGTCAATTTTAGTGTAATTCTTATTTCGAACAAAGATGAGAATTTTATTCACCAAATTTAATATGAGATCTATTTAATGAATCATGAATCCACCATGCATGATACATTTTAATGATTTCTCTAAATTCTCAATTATTTATTTGAATATGTCATATGAAAATTCCTTGAATAAATCCTTAGTTGATATTTTAGATTATAAAATGTATAAAGTGGTTAATGTTTAATAAATCTATAATTTATTTGGTGAATAATTGGGTTTATTTAAGACTTCCAAAAGCACTTCTGTAATTTACTTTAGGAATTATCTAATATCGTCATATTTCCCTAGTTTATACAAAGTCTTATATGTTTCAATTGATGAAGCTTCCCATTAGCTTACATTTTTAATCAATTTATGCGATAGCTTGTGATTTTCAATTGAATCTCTGAATTCGCCTTCCAAAAATGCAATTTACCCTTAAAGACATAGGATTCTTCCCATCAATTCTAAATCTGAGACAATTTTGGCATGCTTGTGAGATTCAGCTAATAATTCTTTGGCTCTATATATTTCACCTGAAAAGATTAATTCATTGCCTAAATCGGTCAGAATAGTATACACAAAGATCTCACTTATGATATTGGCCTAAGGCAGGTTTTGTTCCATAATGTCGGCTGGTCTAGATCTATTTTGTTATAACACACTCGATTCAGTTTTTGCAAGCATTTATTTCTTTTCTTGGTCAGTCAATTTAAATTTAACAATGTTAGATTATTAATACATCTACTCTGCCTCATTGTGAAATCCCACTTGATGTAAACATTTACTAAATCTCACATCAATTAATCTATCTAAATAAGAATTATTTAATATTTCTTTAACAAAAAATTTCTAAAACACAAAAATTGGAACACTGTGAATTTAAAGCCCATATTTTTCAAAGATACCAATCAAATTGTTTATATAAGTATATGTTAATTAAGCCTTGTCAAATAGGTATTTACCCATAAAATTAAAATCTTCATAGCTTTTGACTCTTTCTAAGAATTCCTTACTGAATTATAATTTAATCCAATCTTAGATACAGGTTGGTAGAAGATACCTGGGTGAGAAATCATCTTATTGTTAAGGTTTAGGTTGTTATTACTGTTGTTTACTTGTTTTTTCATCAATAATGTTTGTGTATTTAGCTGCATTCTCTTCAAATTCATTCATAGTTTGAAATGAAATTTCAATGATTTTGATTAAGAATACTTTAGCATCTATCGCATATTAAATAGACTATTCCATAGTATCTGCAATCATTGCTAACATAATGTGGATTCTCATTAATCTTTCATAATGAGCACAATTCAATCTGTTTGGGTTGGCTTCCTCCTCTCTAGGCTTGAATATTTTTGACTTTTATTTATTACTTTTGATTGTTGTTGTTCTAACATTGGCAGCTCTTGAAAACCTTTAATTACTTGATTTCTATCCTGATATTTATGATTTTTATTCTTTGCTCTTGTTTTGCTTAACTGTATTCTTGGTAGTCTTCTTGGTCATTTTCGATTTTTATTTTGATTATTTAGAAACCGTAGACTTTTTGCCTCTTGTACTTCTACTGAAAATAGTTGATGAATTCTATTCTTCATCTCCTTCTTCTTCTTCTTCATCTTCCTCCATTTCAATTTCTATTAAAGTGTCTGCAGCTTACATCAAATTTTCTATGACCAATTGTTTTTCATTCCCGTTTCTCAACAACCATTCTGAAAATTCAATTAATACTTCAACTATTTCAACAGAGGAATCCTTCTTTAACAATTCAATAGCCTTATTATAAGCTGTATATTATTTGTAAAGATTATTGGATACTCTTGCCAATCTGATCCACACTTTAGCTTATAATGAGGAATCTGCCTCCTTCATGTTGACAATGGCCTATAGTTCGTTTTTACCTTGTTTGCTCATAAAAATCATTTTAGCTTCCCAAATTGGTTTTGACATATTCTTGGGGATTAATTCAAATACCATATCTGCTGCCATTTCTCCCAATTTATAATCTTCATTTTCCAAGGCACTTTTAAATAACAATTATGCTAACAGCAAGACTAAATCAGGTTCACTCTTTTCTTTACATTCCTTCAGGTAATTCAAGCAAGAATAGACTGGTTTAATGAGATGTTTTCTATTTTAAGCACTCTCTTCTAATCTAGCACACAAATTCCAAACTTATTTTGATGCATCCAAAACCAAACTGTTAATACCTGCCTTTAGTCCTTTATTTGCAGCCTCTATTGCATGAAATAAGCTGGAAAATAACAAGGATTCTTGAGATTCAGTTTCTTATGTCTCTGAATTCAGCATTCTTAATAGATTTTCACTATATATGTATTCAGCCAAAGAATACCATCTCAAACGAGAAGCTGGAATTGTTGATAAGTCTGCTGTTAGTAATTGTAAAGAATATTATACACACCTCAATGAGTACTTATACATTAAAATAGTTTCTTCGTTTAATGCTAATCTTGCCAATCTAGCCCATAATTCAGCATGCAATTCTAGTTCAGTTTCGTCATTTT